GCCCAGTAGCCAAAGCCTTTCCCGGATCCAAAGTCGAGTCTGAAAGGCCGCCTCGCTTCCAAGACAAGATCTCCGAAACGAAGGCGGAATGCTGATCAGCGCATGCTAGAGTATGAAGGGCAGCCAAGCAACGTGCGGGGCGAAGGCTAAGACAGCAGCAGAGACCCGGCTCATCACCGCTACAGCGGCGTGACATCCACATCTCCACCTGCCAGACTCAGCTCATGCCGTGAAGAGCTTACATCAGCTTGAAGTCAGCTTGATTGCAGATCTCCTCCTGAGGTCCTAATCCCCCCCCCCCCCCCCCGGGACCCTCTGATTATCACCCCTCTGAAGTGCGAAGCTCCTACCGAGTGCCGTGTTGCACCAAAACAGCGCGCCTCGTCCGCAGCCCTCGCATGGTCCCAGATGCGGAACTCAGCGATCTTTCCAGGGAAGGGGCCAAGCCTGTTCTGAGCTCAGGCATGCGGAAACAATCCGACCCAAAGCCTTTTGTAAGCATGTTCTGGACCATGTTGGACCCCAAAAAGCACGCTTGGCAGGCCGGGGATTTCACAGCCCGGATTTCGGACGCGGGCCAGAAGCTGCACGACACAACACGACAGGCACGACGCGAGGACACGAGGATCGATGACACGAAGACACGTCACGGCCATCGTGGCATACGACACAAAGATACCACCCGAGAGCACGGCGCGAAGACACGACATGAAGATGCGACACCAAGATACGACATCACCGAAAACAAGACGCACCTCTAAAACACGACACTCAGAGAAGACACGAACACCCTGTGACACAAAGGCAATCAGAAAAGACGGTCCATAAGCGAAGGACAGTTACCAGGATGGTGACTTGCATGACAGGCCCCATCCCTGTGACCCATGACACCTTTGAAACGCGAAGCACGACGGTCGGGAGGATGGGAACCTGTAGTGGCCCCCGCCTGGGCACATAAAGAGAGGGGATCCCGAAGCGATGCCAACACGGAGGCTTCCACAACTTTTCGGCTCCAGCGCGACCCTCACGGACGCGTCGGCTGGGCGAAACCGGTATAAGATGGATAGTAGATCCCTAGTACTTCCGGAACCCACTCTAGTCAAGGCCTGATGTCGGAGTCCATGTTGACGGCCCAAATCTCGCTCCCAAACTCTACCTGAAGAAAGGTTTCTATGGGTTCTTAGGGTTCAAGGCTGAAGGTTGTAAAAACCATGAAGCATGTTGAAACCCACCTGCAGGCCATCCTGGAAGAGACTCACCTCCAACCCATGGGGTTCCAAGACACTTTCAACACATCATATGCAGCCGAGCGCTTGACAGTGGTCAGCGGCCTACCTTGAAGTCGTTGTCGCTGGGACTGAAGCTGTACGTGATGGCAACGTGCATCCACTTCCGCGTCCTTGGGTCTTGCACATGGAAGACATGGTCGCCACACGTCGCCACATGCAACCCTAAACATCACCTACGTGCGTCAGGTGGCTGATGCATTCGCATCCTGGAGGAATAGCTATTTCCTCCCGCAAACTCAAGCTGGAGACCTGCCAGGGTGTTTGCTTTTCGGCTACAGTACTTTGACCAGCTCTCTGCATCTGTGCACCCTTCCATGCCTCCACCAGGCTTCACGTAAAGCGACCTGGGAGTGCAGGAAGGCAATAGAGCAATGAAAAGAACAATCCAACAAGATTGCTTGAAGACAAAGGGCTGGCCGAAAAACCCCGGGAACGAAAATCGCCAGCGATCCAAACACCCAAAGACAAGTCTACGAGTCTACGCGCCAAGTCTACGCCAAGGCGAATCGCCAACGCAGCCAGGAGGCGGGAAACTTCCAGAAATGGGGGGGTCACCCGTCAACAAGGGACTCCGAGTTGTGACATCCGCCTGGTTCACCACAAGCTTATCAAATCTCGCGGCACTGTTGCAACATTCATCGTGCGGCAAGCAGCATCAGCCTTTGACCTTGAAGAATTTCGACAAGGAGCATGGCAGCGCATCCAGAATTCCACGGTGAAGTCTCCTGTTGTAGCTGGCAGCGGCTGTTCAGAAGTGCTTGCATAAGGGAGAAGATTCGAAGCGAACTGCGCCTTCCAGAAGGCCCAGTGATGAGGCCGCTCCCAAAGAAATGGCGCCCGCCGTCAAATCAGCAGACCCGCCTGTCTGTCAAGCAGCGTGCTGTGAACATTCAAGCATCGACGGTGCGGAAGGCTTCACCGAGCGACAGCGACACAACTCGTCCGCGTTTCCTTGGCTTTCATCCAACTCGAAGCCTTTGAGGCAGTCCTGCTCAGGAATGGTTTCAGCCAGAAACTTTGAGCCGCCTAGGAAAAGTTGCATCTGTCACGAGCTGTGACCTCAGCCAGCCGCGGTAGATGTTCCAGTCAAGTTCGGCAATTGTCCGACGTCTCTACCTACCCTTTTGATGTCTTGGTGATGGCAGCACGGATCAGCACATCGGAGTGATGCGTCCACACACTTGTTGTGTGACAACGACGAAATTTTGAGCAACGAATACATTTCGGGCATGAGCCAAGTCCTCTGCAAGCTTTTGAAGCTCGTAGACTTCCTCAGCTTTGTCAAATTCCTCGACTTCGACCGCCTGCGCAGCTTCAAGCCAATGCGTCCCCGCGATGGCACACATCAAGCCCTCCACCTCGCCTGCGACACACGCGCTGTGATTGCTTGATGAAGCTCCTTTGCCTTCACGAGGCGTGCCCACAGGGAAGTCCTTGGCTTGATTTGGCTTACATATGCTTCGCGAATGCTTTGCATGCACCAATGCCATAACGAGTTGTCAGACTTACTGTCCGAACCGACAAATTCTCTGATAAGCCTTGGCCAAGTGGATGCCAAGCAGCTGCTCCACTGCCCTGATTTCGCAACGGTGCCGTTCATGCCGCCATAACAATGTATGCACATCACAGAGAGAGAGAGAGAGAGACAGACATCTTCGCCAACAGATATACATATGTACTGTGGACACTACATCCGGCTCTGGGCTCGCGGCAGGACATCTCGCATGTGCTTGAGCTGCTTTGCCTTTGCTGCTTTAAGAATGTAAAATGATGTGAGGTCAGGCCACGAAGGCATTAGAATTTACACCATTTGCACTTTGCTACGAGAACCTAATCTGAGAGGAGCGTCGTTCTCAAACCGATATGCGGCTGTAGCTTCAGCCATGGCCCTGATTGCAGAAACCTGCATCAGACTGTTTTGCATCAGACTGTTGTGCATCAGGCTGTTGTGCGCACGTCTAATGTCCACGAGATGCAACTTTGGGTAAGCATGTCCCAAGGCGGGGCCTTGGCTTGAAGCACATCTGCAAGCGGCAGCTCATGATCTTTGAGCATGCAGCCTGAGAAAATCAAATCTCAATTTCTTGGAGCCAAAGGCCTACAGTAGGAGATTGTTAGAGTCATTAGGGTGCCGGCGCTCCAGCTTGGTGCGCACCAAGCTCAAGCCGGTGGCCGTCTCGAAGTCCTTTTGCCGGATGAACTGTCTGAGGGGAGGGAAAGGTACAAGTTCGGCGCAAGTGTCACAAGAAGATCCTCTGCATGGTGCTGCTTTGCTGCGGCCCTGAGGTCAAGCTCAGCATGTCCGACGCAAAAAAACACAAAGTTCACAAAGTTCCCAGCTTTGAATTTAAATGCCATGCCGGGCTGCGGCTTCACCGGCGCGCGCTCAGAACTGGCACTCCTCGAACGAGACTTCCGCTTGCTGCCAGCCTTTAGGCGGCTGCAGGGGCTTGAATTTTTGCATCTGTGGCTAGGGACACGCGAGCACACAGCCTCAGGAGCATCGATCCCTTGAAAGGATACCTGCAGCAGGGCTTTGGGGGTCAAGTCTGGCAGACAGACAAGTGCGCGCAAGGGACTTTCAGGCAGTTGCCCGAAAATTGCTGGGAGAGCTGCCTGGACTGGTACTTCCGTCTCTGGTTCTTTGGGCCTCGGGTTGAGAAAGGCCACGAAGGCGCTATCCACCAAGCAAACGCTGCCTCTTCCAGCTAAGCAGCTTTTCTTCATGCCACGCATTAACATTGCCTTGCTCGATGCGGTCGTAGCCACGTTCCACCTAAACAACGAAAACAGCAACAAGAAACATGAAACAGCAACCCCACGACCGTGACCCGACGACCGTGACCCGACGACCTGCCCTCTGTTTCTGCACGCGTCCGGGGTATTGTTGAAAAATATCGGTGGGCCCGCATCCCTGTTTGAAAAACTCACGGTGGCCCACGCCTGTAAAATGCAATGTTGCCTGCCCACGGAGAACGGAGAACTAGAATTGAAGGATGCCGATCTTGTTCTACACTCGCCCCATCATATCACATGCAATGGGTAGACTCGCTGCACTGACAGCCTGCCACATCTTGCAGCTCTGATGAGGCCAAGGCATTCAGCACCTCTCCGCTCATTTCGTCCTCATCCTTGCTTGGAGTGCCGGCCACACTGTCCTGACAGCAGGAACATGACAGCCGCACTTGTTCTGCAGATGGCAACATGGGATATCATGGGATAACATCTGCCAGGCACGCCATTCGAGGATCTTCTCCTGCAATCTTGCTGGGTGACGGAGAACCTAACTGCTGAAGCACACGGCCTTCGTTTGCTTGCGATGAGCAGCAGGCTGGAAGCCACGACTTCCTAAGTCACGCTTCCGATTGCTTCCGCAAGAGGTGCAATCACGCCGTGTCCGTGCTGCCACTGCTTGCTACATCTCGCCGCCAGGTCTCTTTGTGCGCTTTGCCCCGGTGTCCTCCATGGCCTGCCACCCTGCAAGCACGACAGCGGATGGCAGGGTGGCAGATGAGTCAGGCAAACGAACCCGTGCCCGAGAGCCTGTCATTGCTTCGGAAAGGCTCGGACCAAGGAGACGAACAGCTTTGTTTGAGCCACGGCGCACGGCATCAGGCCCCTATGACACATCAGTCAGACAGAAACCGATACAGGTCCGTAGGCCTCATGTGGGGCAGCAACATGAGACGGCTCCCTGGCAACTCGCTCGGCCTCGGACGACCTCAAGGTTGTCATGAAGTTGTCCTGCATTGTCCGCAACAGAAGAGTCTACCTACAAAGGCGGCATACCCTTCGGTCAACGTCATCAATCAAGATTCAACATTGCCAAGCACGGCTTTTCAGGAGGCATCGAGAGTCGAGAGATCTAACTAACTTCGGGACAAAGATCCACAGTGAGACATCAATCAGAACTATCTTGGCGGTTCACGGTTTGCGGTATACTGAGAATACATCACATAGAGCATGAACGCGAAGACGCCCATGCGGATGGCGTCTGTGTTCCCACTAGCCCACAGCACTGCCAGCAGCCCTGCAACAATGAGGTAAATCATGGGGATATCACGTTCCATCACCTTAACAGTCTTTCCGTAGATGCCAACGGCCCGCGCCAGGTCGCCAACAATGACGTTCTCCCCTGGAACCGCATATCCGCCGCCTGTGCCGCCTGCTCCTGCATTTGAAGAGCTGGCGGATGCCGCGGATGCCGCAGAAGCTGAAGGCGAAGCCTTCGCCGCTGGACGCCGCTGCGTCGCCGAAGCCTGCGCCCTTGGGTCGCTGTCAGGTACGATCTCGCCATTTGCCAGGATCTTGACCATCTGAAAAGACTCAAAAGCTACGCAGTATGCGAATGCCTGTCTTTGTCGAAGGCCTTCAGCCCTTGGGCCTCTAGACAGTCTTAGCCTCAGACATCCTCAGGCCTCGAGGGCTTTGGGCCACATTTTGCGATGTTTTCTGCGAATCTTGCGAGTCAACCCCAGCACCAAAAACAACTCTCCATCTTCAAGGCTCCAGAGGCTGACAAGAAGGGGGATTCTGGAGTCCTGCAGCGGATTTTGGACAAAGTCGGCCTCCCGGAACCAGCAAGGAAGACTTGCGACTTCAACATGCTTCAACATGTTTCAACATGCTTCAACCGGATTTAAGCAGAAACTCGCGTAACTCTTCGCGCGCCCCGTGGCCAGAAGGTACGCTGGCGACCTGTCCAGGAAGGACCTGCGGGACTTGGCTTGGCTTTCCCCGGAGTTGAATTACGATGCATGGCACAGCTAGGCATATATGCTAAATTCCATCCAGGCACATACGCCAAGGCCGCTGGAACCGATGACCACAGAAGCGCCTGTGCCATTGGCTCCTGGTACTGGCTTCGCCTCTCTCACAACCTGTCCGCCCTCCTACCCCGCCTGCCCGAACCAATTGAACTTGGTACCAGAACCCCTCAAACAAGTGCAGCACTTCAGCGGGCGCACAACAAAGCAGAATCAGCTGCACGAGCTGTCCAGAAGGACGGGGCAATGGAAGGTGTCGAGCACCTCCATGCATGGTCGAAGTCGAAGATGAAGTATGCCGAGCCGAAAGAGCGCTTCTCACCGACGGATCTCGAAATCCAACCCCCGCCTGCCGGACGAGGAACAGTGACACGTGGGGCGCCAAAGTTCGAGCCTTAGCCATGAGTTGTGAAACGTACGGCGGTGACGCTAATTTTAGAACTAGCTGCAACAGCGAACGACCTCATCCACTAAATGATACAGCTGTTGGGACCGTCTGTCAAAGGCCGGAAGCCGACCAACCTGGGCCTTTCACGTCCGTATTCGTGCCTTTGGACGACCCTTTGCTAAAGAACCCTCTACGCATCATTGCACCACATTGCACCATCTCCTCGCTTCCAGCGTCCGAAAACAGATCGCGGTTCGATTCCTCTCGTTTCGCCTCTCGTTGTGTTTGATGCCAAACCCTGGCCAGCACACAATGGGTTCCCACGACATGTAAACACAAACTCGCCGACACTGGATGTCACTGATTAGGACCCAGCTGTACCACCCTCACGCTGCGGTGGCGAAGCTGTCAAACCCGCCAGCAGAACCGGCCTGACAAAAGTCGTTAATGTTGTGCAATTATATGGCTGCTGAGGCAAAGTGAACATGCTTGAACCCCAAGCCGAGGACAGAATGGCGGCGTTCAGCAAACGATCTGCAAGGACCTTGCAGCCATCGGAAACATGAACACGGACCACGGGAGCTGCGGCGGCGGCGTGCTACGTTTGCTAAAACGAAGTCTCGGCCACTGGAGCTCGGGATGCCCCCCCCGTCTTCTTATGGAGCCCTGGACTCACAGCACCTCTGCCGGAACGAACCGTGAATCCCCAACAGCTCGCCTCAGCGCACGAAGTCGATGCCAATGAAAACGACGTTTCGGGAGCCCCAAGACCCACGCGCGTATGCCTGCGCCCAAACGAGAGAGGATTTCGACACCAGAACGAACGTCGCTAGGCAAAAGCCCCCGCGAACAGAGCCGGCGCGCGCGCCATGCGCGCCTCGCGATCACGGCGTCTTAACCCTTTCCCCTTGACGTTGCAATCACGTGGTGTTTGGTAGACAGTTGGGGAACAAAGCTTCAAAGAATAAGAAGTATCTCTCGTTCAAGCGAACCTCATTAAGCTCGTCGATGCCCAGTTCAAAGACATCGGACAAGTAGATTTGGAGGTCCTCGGCACAAGGACACACCATGGCACATAAACTCTGTCGGCTTCAAAAAAGGCCATTCGGCAGCCGTGCCTGCTGCAGTTCATTCTCACGTTGCACGGCGGACAAATTATCCTGCACGCGGCGATGGTACTGGGCCTTTACGGAGCCAGCTGCAGGTTTCTGCGGCGGAAGCCGTCCAGGCATGTCAATTGCTAAAATGTTCATGACCTTCGTGCAACACGTCCTCGCCAGTAGCTTTCGCAGCTGCAGTGTCGAGGCGCAACCTCTAGGGCGCTGCCACACCCAAAAACAAAGTAACTTGAAGCAATACTTCACTACAGCAGGCCCCATCTCTGCCCACTCTACCCGACCAGTCTGAGCAAGAAGCCACAAGTCTTGCAGATGATATGCAAGCCTCAGCATCTAAAAGGCGACATGGACGTTTCCATGTGCACAGCATCGAGAACCCGACTGGCTGAAATAGGACCTGAGCTGCATTTCGCACGCCTCACTCCAAACGAAACCACTTGAATCAATGGAGCCTCGGCCGGCATAAGTGGGTAAGTATTGCGTAGTATTGCAACGTTTGGACGGTCCATCCTTCTGACAACATTGCCATGCGTAGTGCAAGCGAGTTGCTCTGCAGCGTGTCGAAGCACAAACCGACGCATTGGCTGGTCCTCAATTTTGTAGACCTGGTGCGCACTTGCGGGGTGCCGCGTCTCATCATCAACATGGACAAAGGCCTGCAGAGTGATTGTGCGCACCGTCGCCCGGACCATGTGATCACGATGGCCTCATGGCAGTTCTGATGTACATGGACATGCCTAGATGTCTACGAAGCTGCACTCATGGACTCGCTCGTGCCAATGCTTTTTCTCCATGTGGCAATCAACACTTGCATGAAGGCTCATTGGCCGATTGCCGTCAGAATCTGACCAGAAACGACGGTCGAGTCGGCTCTGTAACAGATGTGATGGAGCTACGGAATGAGAGGCACACGGAACGCATTCTCCCAAACCATGCGCATGCGTCCCACGTCCCAGGTGAACGTGGCCACGCTCACAGAGTCGCTGCCGTCCCTGGAAAGCGTGCTGGGCGGCTGCCATGGCGACAACCCGGGGCTTGGTTGCTCACCCCCAATAGAAGTTTAACCTTTGGCTCCCTTAGTATGAAAATAGAGGAGCCCCAAAACTTATAAAGTGATAAAGTTGTGGCAAACACTTTCAAACTGACATGTGGCAAACACTTTTAAAGTGATAAAGTTGTACAGTAGTAATGTCCCACCTGGCCGGTGTCGGACTAAATCAACCCCAAACCCCTCTCTGCAACAGACATTCATCCAAACTGCATACGGACAGGACAGGCATGGAAACGCGCCTTGAACCAATCAGACAGTGCCAAGGTTGGATTCACAGCTTGAGTTTGGCAATCACGCTGGCTGCAAGTGCCGGCACATCTTCTATGGGCACAACGCGGGAACATATTCACACTTTTTTCTGCAGTGCTGCTCAGGTGCATCAGGGGCCACGCTCAGCTGAAGCGCATTGCCAGCTAAGCTTCTTGATTGTTCCAGGGATGGCGCCTGCTGAAGTTCGGGTGGATCTTGTGGGTGTTGGGCCGGGCCTTCCAGTAGCAGGTGCGCCTCCACCGAAATGCATCCCACTCGCAGTCAGAGCGCCGGCGCTTGTTCTCCTTCAGCCGCCTGCACACAAACCACTTCTTCTTGTAGACGCGGTCGCAGTGCGCAAGAAAGGTTGAAGGGAAGTTCATGCCCGCTTGTTTGTCTGGAATGGGAGGCGTATGATACATGTATGCTGCTTCCCCCACCGGGTACTTGTGGCCCATGTCCTTCCGGCGCATAAACTCGTGGCGGTTGACGCCCATTTCCACCGCGTTGCTCGTTTCAGAGCCGCTGCCGAGTCTGCCGGCACTTGGAGCTGTCGGAATCTCTGCTCGAGGTGCATGCGCAGGAGGCGCAAACCCTTCAGGACTCGAGCCCACCACGGTGAAAGCTGACTCTCTCTGGAAAGCACTGCCCAGCCAAGTGCGCACGGCGAAGGCGGCACCCGCAAGCAGCACCAGCAAAGGGGCGGATGCTCGGCGCTGGGCGGCTGCCATGGCGACAACCCGGGTGTCGGACTAAATCAACCCCAAACCCCTCTCTGCAACAGACATTCATCCAAACTGCATACGGACAGGACAGGCATGGAAACGCGCCTTGAACCAATCAGACAGTGCCAAGGTTGGATTCACAGCTTGAGTTTGGCAATCACGCTGGCTGCAAGTGCCGGCACATCTTCTACGGGCACAACGCGGGAACATATTCACACTTTTTTCTGCAGTGCTGCTCAGGTGCATCAGGGGCCACGCTCAGGCCGAATCCGCTGAAGCGCATTGCCAGCTAAGCTTCTTGATTGTTCCAGGGATGGCGCCTGCTGAAGTTCGGGTGGATCTTGTGGGTGTTGGGCCGGGCCTTCCAGTAGCAGGTGCGCCTCCACCGAAATGCATCCCACTCGCAGTCAGAGCGCCGGCGCTTGTTCTCCTTCAGCCGCCTGCACACAAACCACTTCTTCTTGTAGACGCGGTCGCAGTGCGCAAGAAAGGTTGAAGGGAAGTTCATGCCCGCTTGTTTGTCTGGAATGGGAGGCGTATGATACATGTATGCTGCTTCCCCCACCGGGTACTTGTGGCCCATGTCCTTCCGGCGCATAAACTCGTGGCGGTTGACGCCCATTTCCACCGCGTTGCTCGTTTCAGAGCCGCTGCCGAGTCTGCCGGCACTTGGAGCTGTCGGAATCTCTGCTCGAGGTGCATGCGCAGGAGGCGCAAACCCTTCAGGACTCGAGCCCACCACGGTGAAAGCTGACTCTCTCTGGAAAGCACTGCCCAGCCAAGTGCGCACGGCGAAGGCGGCACCCGCAAGCAGCACCAGCAAAGGGGCGGATGCTCGGCGCTGGGCCGCCATTGATACCAGCAAGCGACTGGCAAGTGCTACCACGAACTGCTTTTAAGCACAAAACGCCCGCATCATAAAATGGACATGCCATAGTGGAGGGAGACAAGCACAGCCTCAGCAGTGTCAGATGTGACCAAGCAGTCGGCTGAAGAATTTTGTGGCTTCAATGTAGAGCGGAAAGGATGGCCTGGCAGATTCTACCTCTTGCAAGTGCGCGATACGCCAAGGGCTCCAAAGCTTAGGGCTTGGCTCAGGATGTTGAATGAAGAAGAATCTGCCAAGGGCTCTCAAACTCAAAGCGGAGCAGCGCGCTGCGAGAATCTGAGTATCTTCCACGGGGTTCTGGCTTTATGGATTCGTTGTCCAAACGCATTGCCAACGACCTGGGCATTTTTTGTTGTGCCATTCTAGAAAGCTGCCCCATCAAAGACTGAGCCCTGTGCTTCATGAGAGTAATGTAGTAAGCCAGAACCTCCTCATCGTCAAAGTCCATGTTCGTGGACTTGCGAGCACAGTGCCATTCACATCTGCAGTGCACTCGGCTAGTGCAAAGCAAGAGAAAGCAACACGACTGAGACTGAGGCCATCAGTTTGTTGACATGATTGTTGCTGAGAATGTAATAGACGGACCTTTGCTTTCCAAGCAGGACACTCCAAGTGTTGAGCGAATGCAGCCACTTCCGAAAACACTAGCAGGGTCGCCACATAGGACGCCTCTCCCGGAGTTGTTCTGCTGTGCTCTGTCTCTCATGCCATCTCTTCCCTGTCTCCCGTGCATTCTTCGACGTGTGCACATTCCTCCCCCCTCGGCCACGAAGTACCGACATAGTCGTCATCTACCCGCCTAGAATCTAGGCCCGGCATTCTGAGAATCGTGCGTTTGGCGATGGATGTTCTGAATGAGCATCGACAGCGTCTGCAGCAGCTGCAGTTTCACCTGCCGGCACAGAGCCGAAGGATGTGCCAAGGAAAGCCGCCTTCACTTTGCGGGGGTACGAAAGCTCGGTTGGGAACCCTGTCAGGAATGACATGGAGCATTATGGCATGTTTCGGGTGGGCATGCTTCGTCATGCTACAGCCGCTACGGCGCGAAGCATGGAGAGCCAGGGGCATTTTGGCAAAAACCCTGAAGAAACGGATACGGGCTTCTCAGATTTGAGAATCCCCCCCCCCTCTCCTCCCCCCCCCAAACCTTCTGGCAGAACAAATTCGGGGTATTGAGACGAAAGGCTCTCTGAGCTTCGTGACAACAACTTCCACTTCAAGCCCGGTCCTTCTTCGAAGCCCTTTTCAGTCCAAGGACGTGCACCAGGTCCGAGAAGATGCTCCTGATGAGACCAAGCATAGGGCGCAAATGGCGCAAGGAGATGTATCTCTGAGGCAGCAGCTTTTCACAAAAGAAATCAAAGAACTGGCCTCAGACAAGTCCAAGAATGTTCAGACGCATCAAGATGTGGATACAACCTTTGAAGGAGCCAATGCCGCCGCGGCGCTGTGGTTCGCCTGCTCGCCCCAAATCAGTGCCTGCACCACCGCGGAGAATTGCGGAGAGCAGATGTCACATGCTGGCGTCTGCAGGTCGGATTCCGGACATTCGGAATGTTCTGTCGCCATCTCGGTTTTATAGCAACCTTCCCCCCCCCCCCCCCCCCGCCCGCATAACAGGCCTATACCGGTCTTGAAGCATGCTCATCTGCCTCCGTTATTTGCCTGACGGTCTCTATGAGAGCGTCTCCCTCTCCATTTTTCTCGAGGTCCTCGGTGGGACAGGGAAGGAGCAAACTCCATGACACTATGCAAAGCTCTAGAATAAGCAAGACTGCATCACCCGCGGCGCGGAACTGGCACCACATGTGTCACTACATTGGTCGGGATCTTAATTGCTGCAAATGTGGAGGTGTATGGTGCAGGTCCAATATCATGATGCTTCCAGCGTGAGGGCACCCAACTCAACATGCCAAGGCGTCGGCACTTTCTCGGAATTGAGCCAATCGGTTGTACAACTGCTGCAGCTTCTCCTGCGATCTCACCAACAGAACTTAACAACAACTTCAACTGGAACAGCCCCGACATCTTGTCTGGGACGGCCACAAAGCTGTAGCTGGGCGGCGGAGGTGCTGCCCCGGACCCACGTGCCACGCCCCTGGCGTCAAGTGAAACAAACGCCACCTGAATGCGAGAACGCATTGTGGACTTGGCGCCTCGGCGGAGACCTCATGTGCAAAAGGAGAACATGCCGTTTTATCAATGTGATGTTCTTTCGGTCAACTGGCATGGCAGATCACGGCGGGCCACTCATCATAAGCTGGGCACGTAGAGTCAGCAGGTGGCGATGACCAGTCTGAGCGCAGCTTCAGTGGATCCGTCGCGGCAAATTTTGGCATTCCGAGAACATCCGAGGGATGCACTGAAGAGACTTCCAAGGAAGGACCTGTAAAAGAGAGGCTCAAACTTCTCATGCCATCTATGACAACAAGGTGGACCATGCAATAACATGTACTAGAAGCATCAAAAGTTAAAAGCCGGAATCAAAACAGCTGTTTAAAAATATCTAGCACATGCAAATTGCAGCATGTCTGACTGTTCACATACTCGGGGTTCTTTGAAATGCAAGCTCCAAATACAAACACAGCGTTTTCGGATCGTTCACCGGCTCCAAATGCTGAAGCATTTCTGGCGGCTCATAGGCTACGAACGGCTGTAAGGACAGCAGCTTTGCACATCTTTGCACGATCTGTGCTTGCATTGCGGGATTTGGAGAAGATTCTCGTGACATGGTGTTGAAGGAACGTCCAGATTGGCGCGATATTCGTGGCAAACCTTGCTTTAAACGGCTGAGAAGAGCGGGGATGGGTTTGGAAGGGTTCATGAGGCCTTGAAAAAGTATCCATCGATGGCGTGATATTCTTTGAAGCGCCCTGCTTGCAGATTATGTCTTTCTATGTCTTTCTTTATTGTGTGATGTTTTGGTTTCTGTTGTTTCATTTTTCTCTATTCGGGTATTATTCATCTTGTTATTCCTTCTTCATTCGTTTCTTTATTCGTCTATTTTCCTTTCATACTTCTTTCTTGCTTTATGTACGCCTTTCTTTCTTTAGTTTTTTGGTTCGATCTTTCTTTATTTATGTCATCGCTTCTTTCTGTCTTTTTTCTATTCGATTGTTTATCAATTTCGCTGTTTTTTTCTCGATGCGTTGCTTTTGTCTGTCTATCTTTTCTGTTCCCATCTCGCTTTCTCTCTATCTGCCGTGCCATCCCCGAGGATCTCGCTGCGCAAGGGCAGTCTTTCGCTTTTCTCGTTCCCTTTCTGCCTTTCTTGATTTCATGGCCGCGGAACAAGCTGTGGTGAGCACTCACCAACGTGCAACAAGCAACGGCTTCCAACCGGAAGGCGACTTTCTTTTGCACCTGCCGCTGGTTTATCCATTTGTCTTTCTTTTGCCATGTAGGGAAACATTGGCGGCGGCATCCACAATCTCTCTGTCTGAATCATTTACTCTTCCAATATGACTTTGTCCTGGAAGTGTTGGCGCAACCACATGCGAAGATGTTGAGGAAATGCCTGGATCAACTCTGTTTTGGTGTCCTTCAATAGCACATCGGCGTTTGGGAGCACCCGTGACAACCTCTCTGCCACTTCTGCAGGGTGCGTTGTGTCATCACGAGCAGCACACAACAAAACAGGAATTCGGATCTTAGCGGCTGCTAAGTCATCCAGTGATGGCAGGTCTGAAAATGCAGCCCCCCGAACCACTTCTGCAGCAGCAGGGTCGCTTGGTTGTAGGAGATCTGCATTGTTCAATAGATTGGCTCGCCTAGCAGATCGAATCTCCCATGCCGTTGTGACGGACAAAAGCACCAAGCCACGAACGGCTGTTGGACAAAGATACGCCGCCCACAAAGCAGTCGAGGCTCCCATACTATAGCCCCCAAGAAGAGCTCCACGCAGCTTCCGTGTAGAAGGCGTCTGAAATTGGCTTGCCACGGACAACATGTCGAAGGCTAAGCTGCGCCAGTGAAACTGCTGAATGCAACTCGCCAGTGGCTCCCAACCACAAGATCGACCGTGTCCTCGCGCATCATAGACAACAGCGCTGAACGGCAACTTGCCCTCAGTTTCGTGGGCATCTTCCCGCAAACCTTCACTGACTAGAGGAAAGCTCTCACAGGCCCGATGGTCCATGCCACGTGGATCCGTGGGCCCCAAGCCGTGCCCCCAAATCAACGGACATTGTCTGTTATCGCCCAACACCTCATAAGGCAGTTCCGTGCCATCTAGCAGATGCACTTTGCCTTCTGGTTCCTTGGCCATGTGCGACGCGCAGCCGCCTCTTGAGTCAAACTTGGCTGCCATGAGATCCCCAAGTGCACGGAATGCCACACAAAAAGCAACAGACAAAACAAAAAACACCACGTGTTTTATCTCCTGTTTGTTTTGCGCTGCCCCCCGCGATCTTGCGACCGACGCTGATGCTGAGGCTAGAGCATGTCCTGTCAGGCCGTGTCCTTTGCAACTGCTGCATACAAAATCGCAAAGTACAGCATCTCATCTCAATGAACAGCTCTGCCACATGCCAGGAGTGGCGCACCTCACCGTCTTACATCGAAAACCTGCAACAACAGCATCGAGACTTTGTTGGGTGAGCATGGCGTACAATATGTACAGTTGCTCCCAAGGCCCCCACCACACCATGCAGCCAAAAATTGACATAGCTAAAACGCATCTGCAAGGACCAAAGTGCGCCTTGCAGCTAAGCAGATGACCGTTAGCTAACCAGGTTTGTTCCTGGGGTTCGTTGCAAATGTGGATAGTCCTTGCCGCAACATGGTAATGTTGCGATGCTTCTCGGGCAGCATATACTCTCCTTTCGGGCATGATCGCCAATGGTTGCTCCGTTTTGCAAGGTTTGAACTTTGAACAGCTGCAACGATGACGCAAACAAGCAAAATGTATACAGGCACAGCCAAGACCCTGTCACGCCACAACATGACCAACACACTTCATTTCTTTCATCTTCTGGTTGAACAAAAAGTAGCAAAACACGACTCCACACGAATGCTGGCGAAGGCCCCTTGGCCATATGGAGGCAATACTTTGCAAGCCCAGGAATGCAACGGGAGGTGAGGATTGAAACAAGCCACACGAAACGGAAAACGCACATATGCTCGAACCATTGAATCAAAGTACGCCCGACCTCTAACCTAATGATAAAACAAAAAGACATTCAAAGCTCATTAGAAGAGAGATACAAATAATGAACCTGCATTTTTGGGGTACAGCTTGTGATAAACCATATTGGCACAACAAATACCATTCAAATACTATTCGTAAGGGAGTAAGTTTTTCCCCACCTTCCGTGTAAGGTTGTTAGATGGTTAACTCAACTCTCCTCGCCCGGAACTCTTCTCCTCGCCCGGTCTACTCCCAGAGACTCCCTGGAGTGCCCAACCCCAGACTCTGAGAGTGCCCAATGTCATACACCCTGGAATTGTTTTGTTTGTTTTTTTATGTCCGTCCACATCGTGGTCCCAGTGCATGTGCCTGGCCCGATTCTGGCAGGCTCATACAAATAACATTCTCTAGCTAAATTAACCCCCAACGAAACAGCATTGAAGGTGGGGACGCAGAAAAGTTCAGGTGATCTTTTGTGTGCATGCAGACAATCAGTGGTGGGGTTGTTGTCCGTCCGAGACTGCCCTGGGCCCAACCGCGGCAGGATTGCAAAGTTAGGCTGTCATGTGTGCGCTCTTGAAAAAGCCAAGTGAACAGTGTAACGGCTCGAAAGGTTGTAGCGCATGAACTAAAATAATGTTTACCGGGGGCATAATATAGTACGTTTAAAGAGGCCCCCGGGCAATATTAATACTAGAATACTAATGGTGCAGTTCTCACGCACTCTTTTTATTGGATTACAAATGAACGCAGTGAGTGCGTGAATACAATAATAAAGAGTGAGAACGAAACCATACCATTCACTTCTTTCCATCAATCATTAGGAACCTCACCTCTAATTCTAGTACTAATGAGTCTATCCACGGGTGAACGTACTAAAAGGCCCTTAAATTTACTAAATTACAAGTTTACGCGTGAATTTAGTATATTTAATTTGGGCTTTTACATTGGCGAATTATACCAAAGGCCCGTCATAATAAACTATGGTTTTTATACGGGCTTTTAGTATACTATATTCGCCCATACGTTCACACATCACTCATACGAATAGTTATTAAGTTCATACGCCCGTGTCTGCGAGAAGTTGACCGAATCCCTTAATAATATTGTAGGCGGTCACATGCTACCTTCACGAATCTCTTAACATTAACACGGTCTGGAAGATGTACGCATTAAGTTGAACACTGTGAACTAACGAAGAGAGTAATATTAACCCGGCTTTATAAGGACTAAAAGGACGCATGAAAGCCGGGGTGATTATTATGAACGACGTACGAAAAGAACTCAACATTATAATTATAAATGAACATGCGAACGTATTAATTATAATATTGGGGGAACGAAGTAGGCAGTGAGGTGGGGACTTTAGGGTAGTTTCGTTCAGGCTTTTAGTAGCGAATTAGCTTACAATGAATGAATATAATGAACGAACGTGTGAAACTAATGAACAAAATCAGGTGCCAGGAAAAAGAAAAATTCTGGAAAATATTACACATTTTAATGGTTTGTGCGTGTTGAAGCTACCAAAATTCATGGCTCAAGCACCGTCGGTTGACCCCCCGGTAACCAATCAATGATCTTTGCCATGTCATCTATTTCTCTTCTTGGAAGTCTTGTCTGGGGGCATCTTTTGTACCCTGTAGGTTTAGAAAGTGATACAAAAGCTTATTTAACAGGAATTACAATCTTAATATCCTTACCAACTGGTACGAAAATCGTTACTTGGCTTTTTACATATTTTGGAAATCCACCAGTATTACACCTTAGAATTAGTTGGAAGAAACCTGTCGCGTGCGCGTGTTGATGCTGCAGGCTGCGCCCCAACGCCTGCGCGGCGCATTGCGGACTGCGCTGCCTTTAAGGAGCGGTAAATCTTAATATAACGCAGAGTGAGACATGAACTCCAAAGAATAGAAATCTCTTCATATTTTTCCCCTTTTAGTATATTATAATCGCGGGTTAATAATTATAATGAGCCCGCGGATATAAGTGAATGAGTGACGAATCCAAGGTTTTGTTCGTGAACCCGCCGTTCAATCGCATGCTTCCTTGACAAGTAAAAAGTGAAAAAAAAAAAAAAAAAAAAAAAAAAAAAAAAAGTGATCCATTATTCGTTCTTTCTTTTACTTTATTATTAACTGGCCTGCGCCTCGCCACGGCCGGGGGCTCGCTGCTGGAGCGCGTGCGGGCCTGGCGAGCGGCGCCACCAATGAGCATCTCCGCATCATGCTTGATGATGAGGAGGACAGCCGCCGTCTTCACAATGCAGCCGAGCTACTTGCTCCTGCGCAGGTGCCGGACGACGTCCTTGCTGCCGTGCGGCCTGCCTGCCCTTCCAGTTCGGCCTTAGCACGTCTGCTGGGACTGAGGCCGTCGTCTGCCTCCTCCGCGCAGCAACTGAGGCCAGTCCGCGGGCAACAATCCTTTCGGTTGATGCTGTTGGGGCATTCGACCACGTCTCCCGTCGAGCCATGCTGCGGGGGCTGCTTGAGCGCCCGGCGCTGCGGCCTTTGTTGCCTTACGCGCGCAAATTCTACGCCGAGAACAGTTCCTACACTTGGTATGACGATGCCGGGCACGGCCATCGCATCCAGCAAGGCGAAGGCGGCGAGCACCAGCGCTTTACGCCCTCGCGCAGCACCCTGCGCTCGCCGAGCTCCAAGGCCAGCTTCTCCCGGGTGAGGCCGTTTTCGCCTTCCTAGACGACATCTACGTCGTCGCTGAACCTGAGCGTGTTCGGCCTTTGCTGGATGCACTGTCCGCTGCCCTGTGGGAACATGCGCGGGTCAGATTGCATGCGGGCAAGACCCGCATATGGAATGCGGCCGGTGAAGTGGCCGCCGCTGGCTCCTCGGACCCAGCGTGGGTCGGCGACTGGTCGCTCCCACCCGACCAGCAAGGCCTCACCGTGCTGGGCGCGCCGTTGGGTCATGACGCGTACGTCCATGCGCAGCTACGCCTCAAACGTGCACAGCATGACCGACTCCTCCACCTTCTCCGGGTCCTCCCCCCTCACCAGACAGAAGCGTATGCGCGGGACCACGACGCGGCAGTCGCCCAGTGCCTGACCCGCCTCTTGCAGCTGGAGGCCGCGCCCCTGCCTGATCCCAGCCTGCGCACGGCGCAGCTGGCCTTGCGGTTTGGGGGGCTTGTTCTGCGCTCCGCCGTTGCTGCCCGCCAAGCTGCCCATTGGGCCTCCTGGTGTGACACACTGCCCGTTATCCAAGCCCGAGCGCCGGTAGCTGCAGACCGGCTGCTCCAGGCCTTGCAGGGCCATGTGCCCTTGCCCGCAGCAGCCGCTGCGAATCAGGCACGCGATGCCCTTCGCGCCACCGGCTACGATGCGCCGGCGTGGGCTTCCCTGCTTGACGTTGCAGAAGACAGGCGCATCGAAGTCGTGGCCAACGGCTTGTCCATTTGGCACGGCTCGCAACTCGTCTCCCCGCTCACACGTACCGCCGAGCCCCACCCGCGAGCTGATGTCGAGCCGCGGCGCTCTGTCACCGCAGCAGCGCGGCGCAAGCGACACGGCACGTACCCCGAGCTCCTCCGTGCCCGGCGGTGTTGCCTGGTCGTCATTGGCCTGGAAGTGGGTGGGCGCTTTGGCACCGAAGCAGCCACCTTCCTGCGCCTCCTGGCCCGCCACCGAGCCGCCACCATCCCAGCGCACCTCCGACCAGCGGCTCAGGCCGCCTGGGTTGCGCGATGGGCAGCGCTCCTGGCCGTTGCGGCCCAGCGCGCGTTCGCATCTTCCTTGCTCGAGCTGCCCCTTGCGAGCGAGAGCAACGGCGATGATGCCGTGCCTGAGCTGCACGAGGTCCTGGCTGATGGCCGCTGGGATCGCCCCCCGCCCGCCAGCCGAGTGCCGCCGCGACGGTGAGGCCCCTCCCTCCCCCCGCCCCCGCGAAGACACGCTGCGGAAAAACACGCGAGGAAAAATAAAATAAAATAAAAATTAGTGCTGTCTTCTTCTCACATCTTCTTTTATTCATGTTTACCATAGGTGGTTACACAGGAATAGTTTTTGGAAATGCTGCAATAGATCTAGGATTACATGATACATATTATGTTGTAGCACATTTTCATTTTGTTCTTTTTGTTTCTTCGCACCGGGAGGTATAATTTCTATCTTCTCTGGAACAAGTTTTAGTGGAGAAAAGATTTTTGGCACTAGTATTATTTATTTTTACGTTCATCCTCTGGTACACTTTCTCTTTTTCATCTACATTTAATATTTATTGGTATTTTTCTTACCTTTTCCCCAATGCATTGCTTAGGATTTAATGTTATGCCAAGAAGAACCCCATCGTTTCCAGATTCTTTTTATTCCTGGAATTCCTTGCGGGCCCATGGTTACGTGCTCTAGTTCTCCTTTCAAGGCTCTTTTAACGGCATCTTCTTCACCTGGAAAGATACTAAAATCATGACCTGTGAAGTGAATACACGCATATGAAATTATAAGTTAACGCATGATTATAATGCACCGACGCTCCCAGCCACTCGCCCGCAGCGGCGCACCGCGCGCAAACCCCACAACCGTGTCAAGGTCCGCAGGAAGTCTTGGGCCTGTTCTTTCCAGCTGCCGCCAACCTCTTTGCCCAGGACTAGCAGGCGCTGGGCCCGGGCCCACACAGCTCGGATTCGCGGATTGCTTGCGGCGTTCGGCATGGCGCAGCGAGGCCCCATCAAACGTGGCTGCGGTTCGCCCTCGCCTGCCCGCGGCAACACCATGCTCGTGGCCCCGTAGACCACCAGGTCCAGGCGGCGCGCCCCCCGCGCGGACTCCCCGTGTTGTGGTCCGCGCCAATAGCTGCGCAGCTGGGCGACCTGGCCTTCCGTGCCTACGGCCTCGCGAGCATCGCGAACCCATGCGCGCTCCACGACTTTCGCCAGGCGTGCCAAGCGGCCCATGCCCAAACGGGTCGATTCGGCGGCCACAGCCGTGCGCTCCTGCACCCGCAGTGGTTTGGTGCGAGGGGCAGGGGCACGCGGAGTAAGCGATTTGCATGGCCGGCGGTGGGAGTGCTAAGCCTAGCGGCTGCGCAGCCCCGGTAGAAAAGGTTGCAAGTCTGCGACGGCCGTTGCCAGCGGGCGGCAGCCAGTGCGGACCAAAAAGGGCAGTCGACCCATCCCTGGCAGGACGCGGTGCCTGCTGGGGGTCCAGGGCCGCAACGCAGGACTGCGTGGCCTGGATGACGAGATGCCACCTGGCGACCGTGTGCGAGCCTTCTTTGATGATGTGCACGTGACTTCACCACCACCTCGCGTCTCACATCGGTAGGCTGCAGCACCACTTGTTCGACCAAGCGCGCATCCGCCTCAACCCGTCCAAGACTCGTGTTTGGAACGCGGCCGGCTCTTTCCCCAAGGGCCTTCTCGCGCCCCAAGGTGCACAGATCTGGGCTGGTGATGCGCGTCTTCCTGCATCGGAACGTGGCCTCCGCGTGCTCGGAACCCCACTCGGCACGCCCGAGTACATAGCCGCGGAGCATGTCGAGCCGCACTGCGCAGCCCGAGTCCCCCATGCCGAAGGCTGAGGTGGGCCCGCCCGCAGACCAGTTCGTTGTCAAGGAACTCCCCGGCGGACTCAAGACGAAGGAGTGGCAAGGCATGTGAGGACAGACCGGTCATGCGCAGAAGCGAAATCGTTGTCCAGCTGGGGGACAAGACCCTGAGCACGTATTGCGCTCGAGGCACATCACAGTACAACAGCAGCAGCCATGCAACCTGAAGGTCGGGGACAGCAGGGAGCCTCGCAAACAAGCGGACGTGCTGTGTGGACAAGGTGCCAAGCTGCAGCGGCCTACTTCGCATCCTGGGCTGACTGCATGCCGGCCATTTCCGCTCGTGACCCCCAGCTCGCCACCACAGCCACACGACAGCTGCAGGGGCTTGCTGAGGCGGCGCCGCGTCACTGTCAGCTCTGAGGGAGGCGGCGCGCGCACTCATTGATGCAGGAGTGATGCAGGCTTCCAGGCCCCGCCGTGGGATGGGCTTGCCCACGCCCCTTCCCAAAGGGAAAGCACTGGGAAAGCGCATCAGCGACGGCGGCAAGTGCCTCCCGCGCAGCCCTCCATCGCATTGGGTTCGCCGAACAGTAGCTTGGGAATGCTCGGCAGTGGCGCCCGACAACCCTGCATGGGCCGGTCCGCACTTAGTGCAACGCAACACCTCGTCGACCTGCTGCACCGGCTACGTGGTGTGCCGGGTCAACCTCTCGCGACTCCGCGCGATTTCCTGGCAGGGTGCTGGCGGACGCCCAGCAGGGTCGCACAGGGCCGCAAACGTACCGTCGCCGCCTGGCGCCATCACCCCCCGAGCGCGCGACAACTGCCCTTGGCCCGCGGGCACAGGCGTGCTCCCGGCGGGCCTCGTCGGTATCAGCACGCCTGCCTCGCCACATGAAGAAGCTGGGAGCGCGCCTTTCAACCGCTCGACATTCCCATCTTCGAAAAGCTCAATGCCCTGCAGGAGTTCAGTGCGGCCTTCAGCACCTTGGGAGCCGATGCGGCGAAAGAGGAGACGGGGGGAGGAACTGAACCGACTGTTTTTTTTTTTAACTGCAGACGTCGGTCGAAGGGTCGGGGCCACCTACGAACCTACCGGAAGCGCTCGGAAGCAGAAAGGGTCAGGGCCACCTGCGAACCTACGGTCGGGGGCCCGCCAGGGGCCCGCCCAGGGGCTAGGCGGCTGGATTGCGGGTGCCTGCCAGCTCGCGTCGGCCAACACTTCGTGGGTCTGGCGTCGTTCCGTCTGCGCAGCACTCCCAAGCTGGCAGCGGCCACTGCCAAAGAAGCCGGCCAAGCGCGTCACCGCCAAGAAGCCGGCCAAGCGCTTCACAAGCACAGCATGTGCAGCGGTGACTCACGCCGTCGGCTCCCCGGCAGGTAACGGGGCTGACATGGCTGACGATGGTAACGTCAACGGCGAGCTGCGCTCCATTCCACACGGACAGGCCGCAACCTCGCGTTTGCGATGGGCACATCGACGTTCATATCCGCCAGTCGCACCTTGTGGCATACCCGCCCTCCCGCTTCCCGGCAGACACGGGCAACCGCGCGCTCAAGCGGCAACGCGCGAGGGGCCAGGACACCGGATTTGGGAGCAAGCCATCGGTACTTCGTTTCGGCTCCAAATCTCGGGTCTTCAAAAACAATCAACTCAATTGAATCCAGAGTTCATTCCCCCCAGAGGGCCCCAACCAAGCAATTCAGGGGGCTCCAACCAAACCATCAATCATATACAGAGTTAAGTCCCCTCAAAGGCGCCCAACCAAACACTTAAATCCAGAGTTAATAAAGTGAATGAGTGAGTGAGTGCTGGCTGCACAAAATGGCACGTGCAGCAGCCGTGCCTTTGGCGAGCTCCGCAACCGTTATTGCCCCCTCCACTTGGAGTTCACATCCGGCACGCGCCCCAACCCCAAGACAACGCTCTGAGGTCGGCAAGCCCGGTTAAGCAAGAGGGCTTGTCCACCATTTTGGCCCATGCAAAAAAGCGCTTCCCCAAAGATCCCTCTTCAAGGTAAGCCAGGCAGACAACATCGCCTCTGCGTTGGGCAATGCGCAGCCGCGTGCTAAAGCAGCAGGCACACTTCGGCGGATCCACGGATACGTGCACAACGCGACCCATGCGCTCCAGGGACTCACTCATTCACCACCGTTTCCTGTGAAAAGGGGAATGGCAGGCTCGGGCCATTTACCTGCAAACAGGTCCCTGTCGCTGTCCTCGGAGTAGAGGGGTGAAGAACAAAGCCCCGGTCACCACCCACCCCGGACGAGGGGGAATCCAGAGTTAATTCTGCGCAGAGGACCCCAAGCCCCAAAAAAAAAGTAAATCCAGATAACTAACTGTAGAGTTAGTTGTCTCCTTCCTACACCCTGAGCGAAGTAATCTATTCCAGATTTAATTGTCTGGAAATTGGCGTTGGGACCCACGAGAAGCCAGCAGCGCACGGCCTGGAAAGGGTGTCGAATTCTTTCGCGAACCTTTCTTGTTGCGATTTTTTGGTAGCGTGTTCGTCTCTATTTTAGGAGGAAAAACTCTAATTTCCTTCCAGGAAAGATTTATTGCTCCGCATTTTTAATCGGGCTTGGTCTGGGAAAAACCCTGTTGCTTCTGTATTCTAAGTTCGAAATACATTTGGTGACCACAAAGCCTCCGCGTGCGACCTCAGCCCCCCGCGCACGCCCGCCCCGTCACAGGCATGTGCGTCGGGGACGGAAAAAGCGGCTCGCATCACAAGGGACACGAGGGTGGCATGCGTGCAGCGATTCTGTTGCTCCATATACAGCGAGGTTGTGTGGTGGGACCACTACTGTGGCACCACTGGTCACGGGCCCAACTGCCTCTGCGCCCACGCGTGCTCGAGAATGCAGTTTCCAGGCGCACGCGAGGTCGTCGTCACCGTGCCTGTCGGCATCGCACCCTGGCTGACTGTACCCACCACCTCGCCCGGCTTTGAAAAGTGGGACACAAACTCTAGCCGCATTTGGTGGGGCGTACAGGTATGGATAAACCCTCAAACTCGATCTGGACAGATGGGGGCCGATCGGGCAGAACATCAGGTCAAGGCCTGAGGCCTGAAGAGGGGGCACAGCCAGCAACACCCGAAGCCCGGAAGAGAGGCAACAGGGCCGCTCATCGGTAGCAGGGCTGCGCATCAGCATCACGCGGCCGGCAGGACCGGTGCCCCTTCAGCACTGCACATGCTTTTTGTATCCGGGGATCCTGCCTTGTCGAGCTGCGCCCCCGCAGCAGCCGCAGCCCGCAACTAGGCGGCGCTGCGATCGCTCCGATACCAGGTTGCTGTGAATGGCGGGGAATGCTTCTTACCATGTTTGGCGGCCAGCGACATAAGATTCTTGTGAAACGCAGAGTTGGTCTCGACAGTATCTTCGGAAAATTTCGCACATTTAGGGCAACTATAGACCAGCAGGGTATAGGCGCTATCTCGCCTTGCAACACAAGTGGACACTCGCGCGCGGGGGCTGGTTTTCGAGGATGTCTCAGGCCACGGCCGCGATTGCAGGTTGACTTTTTGCATCTAGTTGCCACACTTGCTCGTCCACAAAAATCCGCAGCGGTTTACGCCCGCTTTCGACCTCGACTGGCCACTACGTACTTGTCACCCCCGGCTCTTGGAGATCGGACCTCGGAGTCGCGCCAAGGGCTGCGGCAAGCGGAAGCGACACTCGGCGGCGACGGTTCCACAAGCGGAGCCGGGCTCGGGAAAACCATTTCGGGGTCCAGCCCTCGTTGTGGCGTTCATTGTTTCTGAGGCTACTGATCATCAGCTCTTGCTGTTGTGCGCGCAAGCGTCAAATCCATGTGTCTTGCGTGGCCACGATCAGGCTTGCCACTCCGCTGCTGGAGCCCTGTTCCTCCCTAAGAGGCTATTCGGCAACTGCGCAAGTGATGCAGAACAGACGGACCTGCAGCTGGAGCCTCCGCTGCAGGCTCCAGACGAGCCGAACTTGCGTGTCTTCACATGAGTCTTGGACTCCTATTCAATCCTTTTCACGCACCTGGATTCTGCGTAGAACTCCAAAATGCATTGTGAAGCCTTTACCTGGCAAAGTTTGCTCCGCACTGGCTCTAGGGCGTGGGAGTCTAGGCTTTCCACTCACCGTTCGCTTGAGTGAGGAGAGCTTGATGGGCCAAGGGCTCGTCAACCAAGAAAGATTACGGCGGATTTGCCTCTGCCCTGTCTGTTTTTGGTCGCTTGCCCTAGTCGCGCATGCCTGCCGAAACCGAGACTTTGGGTGAGACGTGTGGCAAATAGCTGTTGGCCAGCATTTTATGCACAGGACGCCGATAGCCGCAGCGCTCAGACCTGCCATGTGCCAAACTGCTCTTGTGGCTTTTAGCTTAGTGCTTGTGCTTTTCTTGCACTGCCTTTGGCCCTTAGAATCGAAACCTGGAAGTGAACATGGTGGAGGCACCGATCGGCTTTCTTCGTGGGAAACGGCCTGGCTTGGAATTTCTTGTACGCAAACCTCACGGCTGCATCCGGTGCAGTCCTCTGGCCGAGAGAAGAACTCTTGAACGCCATGCTCGTTCATGATTTCACTCCTGCTATTGCATGCACATGTACGACACCAATCATGCGTTCGACCATCCTGCTGGCAACTGACATATCTGAGGTCATGGCTGCAGAACGTGGGCAACCTCGTCAAACAGAGGAGCTAACAGACAAGCCTATGCCAGCGGGTCACAGCTCTTGGTCCACCCACCATGTTGCCGGTCTGATTTAGTCTTGCTCTGTCGCTGAGCGGCCTCAACCTGGCAGGAGAACATTCTGCGCACAACCCATAACCCAAAAAACAAAAATCATCGGAAACGTAGTTCGAAACTTCTTGCAGCGGTTTTCGGGATCGACCGATTGGCTTCTGTGTCACCGTTCGCACGTCTCGACTTGTCGTCACGTCGTTTCACGACCGCACCACGTCCCGATCGCATCAACACACACAACCGCCATGACAGGACTTGTCGGCCCAGGAGCACCGATTAAAGCCGAAAATCTTACAAACATAGTTTCAAACCGCACACGCCAACATGTCGTACAATCACGAACAGGGCTTGCACGCCCAGGCGAGCGTAATCGGCAGAACATGTACACTAGATCGCCAAACAAACCATCCCGCATGCCCGATGCATGTTGGTCACATTCCTTTGCTTCAGGAAGCTTCACGCTTGTCCAGGTTTGATGCTTCAACGTCTCGCGTGTCGGGACTTTTGAGTGCTTGCACAGTTCGCACTTGCTGAAGCTTGTCGCACTACTCGCAACTATTCGATCTAACACACCTTTCACCCACGCGTTTTGGTTCGACTTGCTGGGGCTTGGTCTGCTCAAACCTCACTGTGCAGTACTTGCTTGCTGTGCACTTTGGGAGGCCTCGGCATCTTCAAGGAGGGGCTTGCTGCCTGGATCGGAAGCATGTTTCAGATGGCATCAGATCTTTTGGTTGCAGATGCACCTGTGTCAGCACAAGTCTACACAAGATCCCAGGGCAAAACCCAGGCCCAGGCAGGTCCATGACCAGAGTAGGATCCGGCTGCCGGATGTCTTCCCTGAACCCCAGGCCCAAACCTGGGACAGAAGTTCATGACATCTGCCAACATGCACCTCTTTTGAGTAAGGCCAGCACGAACCAGCACCTCAGGTTAATGAATGCCCTTGAACCCTTTGCTGCGTCACTAGCCTCACAGCGACTCACAACACACAAACAAGTGCCGTGCCACTTTGCTGGAGACTTGCCTGAGGCTGCATGTGTTGAAAAGCACGAGCTCTCCCTCAACATCGGCATCATCCGATCCACGCCTGATAGTTCTCGTACGACTTCTCGTCATGAGACCGGGGCATTTGCCTTGCACTCGAGCGCTTGGGGAATGAACCTGCAACCGTCCGCAGCTAGAATGAGCTGAGGTTCAGTCAGCCGCATCCATTCTTGGTTGCGGATGAAGTCGTCGTACCGCACAATCTGACAGGCCGCCAGTGCGTCAACCGGGCTGACTGATTCGGCTCGAGACCTCCTCTCCGATCTGGGGAGGAAGGCCAATGTATTGCTGCACCACGATGACCTGATGAGAGGCCAATTTCAGCAGCAATCCCTTGAGGCTGCCTCTTCGAGATGCCGGCCCCCGTGTTGTTCTCCGGAACTGGCACCCGCGGAAACTGCACGTCCCTTGACAATGCCATCAGAATCAGTCAGCTTAGAGATCCAAGCGACTTGTGATTTCAAACTGGCTTCCTAGCAGGTATGGGTTGCTGCCGGTGAGCCCCCCGCCTCTCCTGCATCGAATACTGGTAGCCACTGATGCTGCTAGTCCCAGGCGATCTCTGGGCCAGGATGTTTGCCTGGCCCAATAACGAGGTCGCAACAACACACGACATCATTCGGCAAGACCTTTCTCACCACGCAAAGCCGCAAAGCCGCAAAGCCTGCGAGTTGGGAAGGGCCAGCATCGCCGCCAGCCTTGCACGAAGCCAATCATTAAACAGAGCGACCGTTTTTCTTGTGGCACATTCTTTAGGGGGCCCAGTGTCAAGAACCACAGGGACCCATTTTAGATCTGCCTTCCCCTCTGCCAGAGCAGCAGGTGGTCACAACGGTTTGATGCGATGTCTCCAGAACGACTGCACATATCCTAGCTTGACATCTTGAGTGAGTACTTGAAACCGACACCCTTGGCAGCGCACAGACACAAAAAAAACGCCATCCTGCCTCCAGTGCTGAAAAGCGAAGGGGCTCGGGAGTCCAAACAACTAAAACTGTCGACTTGGCGCCTGAGCCTGCTCCGGCGCAATGGCAAGTTGTGCTTCTCTCAAGCGCCGGAAGGCGCCCAGCAAGCTTTCGGGTACTGCATACGTTTGAGGGCCGATGTGAGAGTTGCGCCCTCGTTCTTATGACCTCTTGACCCCCGAGCATGGCACGTGCCTTCGGCAATGTATCCGGAAACCAGTCTCCGCATTTGCGTTGCAATGCGCCGCTGTCTTGTGCAGCTCTCTTGCAACCTTCTTTCGTCTCAAACATCACGTAAGCTAACTTACAAGAGGGCGGGCAGAGGGACACTGGAAGCAACTTTGGCTCAGCAGCTTCACCCGAATCAACGCGGACGCAGCTGCAGAAGAATCCCATGCTTGTTGGCATTTCGCAAGACCTGAGTAGCATCGAGATCACTGCTGGATCCACTCATCGCACCTGAAACAGCTTCAAGCTTCCAAGCCTTTGCAACCTTGGCGTCGCACCGTATCCAGTGAAATACACAGACTCCCAGAAGTCTTGGTCACCATTTTGGAACGCACCTCAGTCATGAACCGTGAAGAGTGAAGGCGGCAATAAACCAAGGCACCACTTTCCAGGTAGCCGATTTACAACAAAAAAGAAGGCCGGGATGCTTCCGGGGCCTTAACGTCGTTGTTGAGGATGTCTGCACGTGGGGCGGGCAGAGCACCAGGGTCGCTCCCGAGCACTCCACTTACTGCTCTGACCTGAAACTAAGCCCCAAGAAGCAGTCAAGTAGGGAATGTGGATGTAAGCATGCTTCACAATGCACAGACGGGCACAGACGTGTTTCTCCAACCCGGATCCCTAACCCTCCGGAAAGGGGGTGCCTCATCGATGATGGAGCGCTTCAGCGGCCTCCATGTGCGGCATGTGAGCTCCGTGTGGCCCGGCATGTTCGGCAGAACACTGGAACCGTAGGCCACGGTCCTTGGTGTTTGGCTTCTTATGTGCCTGATGTTCTCCGGGGCCTGCTGTGGCTTTATGGCTTTCCTTCCATCTGCAACAAAATCTCTCCACTCGACCTGCTGCGTCCAGCTTGAAGACTTGGACATGAAGCTTGGGCCAACCCGCCAGCGAGTCTGCTATGAAGTGGAAATCAAGCGGATGGTTGAAGACATACCTGGAATCGTCTGAAATCTGAATCCGGCCACGCAACTGCAATGTAGTGCTCATGTGGCATATACTGAAGTACTGGGCATCAGGAGGCTTGGCTTTGCCACGACTTGGGTGATCGATTCAGCCCAGCTGCACACCGTCTGGGTCAGCATAGGCTGTCTGCGTCTGACCGACGAAGCCCTCCTTTCTCGCAATAGGCAGCCAGTCGCTCCCAGCTTCTGCCGCATAGTCAATGAACAGCCCATCATCTGAAGAGAGTCCTGTCGCGCACACACCCCAACACACGCCTAAACCAACACCATCCAGCAACATCTTGAAGCGTAGTGCGAAGAGTATCCGTAGGACAACTGCTAAACGCGTCCTGGAAATTCCCAGCCAAACCTTCCGAAGATCACGGACAGTCTCAAAAGCGCTCCAAGTGGTTTTGGCCACAATACAAGGCTGCCGAATCAAGCCAAGCAACTCCAACTCACCGATGAAATGCAGCTCGAACTCTTCACCAGGAGGACACGGCGGTGCCGAAGGCGGCGGCACGGCCATGAAACTGTTTTCCTGACTCCCCTGTTTTGCTCATGCCCTGCTTGCCGGATTCTTGTGCACCTGCAATTCAAATTCTGTCCGAACGTGGACTGCGTACTTTCACCGCGGCTTGCTGACGCAGCTTCAGCAAAAAAGACCACCTCAACATCTCTGCGGGCGCAGCGCATCACTCCATGCGGAGCACCATCCGAAAGAACCGCTGCTGAAGCCCCTTTTTGCCGACTACCAAGCTTGTGCACCGCCTAGCCACTAGTTGAATCTATCCTGCTTTGGTCTCACAGCTTGCCGTCCCGGGCCCCTTGGAAAACAGTTGGATAGTCAGGAAAAACAGCAAGGGCTCTCAGGGACCCGGAGGCGCAAAACAAGCTGACAAGACTCGCGCAAACGCGCAGGAGTGTGGTGACGAACTCACAGGATCTACGGGTAGTTTGTACATTGGTAAGCTCACCCTTGATGCGCCTGGCATTCCAAAGGGCGTCAGAGATGTCAGTGTCGTTAAAAAACGCAAAACAGAGCCTGCTGGTTCGAATTCGATGATGTCGCAGCTTGATTCGCAGCTGCGGCTGCTTGCGTGGCAATCCTCGATATGGAGAGGATTGCTTCTCCGCGAGAGACCACGGGTGCGCACCGTTGCTTCGGATTGCTTCGGACTGGGCTGCCAGCGCACCGGCAGTTTTGGAGGCCTTCATCAAGGTCCTTGCACAAATACCGGAGCCCCTCAGATCCCTGCAGCTTCTCAACATCTGCTGCCGTGGCGAAGATGTAAATGCCGGCAAGAGGCTGCACTGCATCCTGAGGGTTGAGACCTCAAGTTGCGAAAAGTCTTGAGCCTTGGGAGATGAAGTCTTTTGGCCTTGGGAGGCGACGGCCCAAGGCTACTTGGATCGCCTGCAGGTCCTGGTAGACTCGTAGGCTCTCTCAGCAAAGCTCAGGGATCTGTAGCTCGAGAAGTTCCATGGCAAAGTTGCAAGTCCTTCCATCGCTGGATGGTCCATAGTTGCACATCTTCCCACACACTGGACAGGACCTGCAGGCCGCCAGCACATTTGAGCAGGGCTGAATTCTCCCCAAAACACATTCAACGCACTGCCCCCAGCTGCCTTGACATCGTAGAGCTCTGCCTTTACTTTTCTCTTACATGGATAGACAGAATTGATCAAACGATATCAAACGTGACTGGTGTCTGGGTCCTGTACAGATTGGCTTTGGGCATGCTTGTTGGCATCGAAATATAATGCTCCTCCCTGGCACAGACGGGCAACGTAGCTGACAAAGACACTCTCACACACACACACATGCATGTCAGCATGAGAACATGCCACGACTGCCATCACTAAGCCGCAAAGGATGTGGTGTGCCTGAGCACGTAGGGTGCAGGTGTACTATGGCTCGTAGCACCCAGCAATGCAGAAGGCTCTGCAAGACCCGCACCAATAGAAAGTAGCCGCCAGTGCCAACCACTGGCGAAGCCAGCAGCTTTAGGGTGCCACCTTCCACCTCCCGACAAGCGATCAGAAAATGGAACAACTGAAGCTGCTGCGAGGCCTCTCATGAGACAACTTCATCCTACTGGCACCACTACTATCTGAACATCTCTCTGCAGGGCCATTTTTCTAACTCACTTGCAGGGTTTGCCAGCTTGAATCGAAAGGCTTGCTTATATGCTACAACAACAACATGTTCAAGCAGAAACGACCCAAAGTGGTACAAACAGATTCGCGTAAACCACAATTTGCACTCACTTCCTTTGGAAAGACAAAGGAGAATTGCCACCACTACTCTTGGCGGTATGTACTCTTCAATGGGCAAGGCTCAAATTGACTCCGTTCAGAGTCACAGAGTCACATGATAAACAATCGGACAGGGCAGTTCAGTGTCAGCTTTGGAAATTCTTGGCGGCGGTTCCTCCAATCTCAATGTCACAGACCCCCTCTGCCGAAATTACTGTGTAGCACTCCTGCAGCATCATCCCAGAAACAAAGCTGGCGCTTCAGGCTGGCTCCTGGCCAACCGTGCGATGCCTCCAGCATGAGCACACACCGCATGGCAGCCGCTGTCTGCATGGATGGGAGCTGCAGCGGGAACTCTTTCCCCGGTGCTTAGGTGCAAACGGGCCACCGCCCCATCCTTTGAGGCCAGGAGGAGCTCGGCTCCTGACGATGCGAAGGCCAAGGAGGCCGCAATGGCCCTTGTGCGGACTTCACCAGACGGCAACCAGGAATCACTGACTTCCCCGGAGTGAGCAAACATAGCAACCGCCGACTCGCCAGGGAAAGCGACGGCCGCACGGATGGCGAAAGCCGCCTTGTTGGAATGGGCGGGCAGCCGGGAGATCGCAACAGTGCCACGAAAATGGGCATCATCTTGGATTGGCAAGTGTGCCAGTTTGGACTGGTGACAGCGCCAGATGCCCTGAGCAGGTCCGTCTGGGCAACTGAAAAGGGCACCTGTGGAGGCGACAAGCAAGAGGCCCTGCTCATCCCAGTGGCCAGCGATCAGAGGTCCTTGTCCATGTGCTCCATGGAGCGCGAAGTCGCTCATCTCACTGGCTCGACCATTCGAGATCGGGATGATGGAGCCACGACCGTGGTGAGAGAGTGCCAGCATCTTGGACGCAGTGGGATGACCGCAGAGTATCTTTGGCTGCATCAGTGCAGGCCATTGCAGAGCTGACTTGCTTGGCTGCACAGCCGCCGGCAGCAGGGACATGTCCACCATGGATGCGGTGGGTGCTTTTGCCCGGCTTGCCCGCTTGCCCTGGGCCAGGTCAGCCAAATGAGGGAGGACGCTGCGAATCTTGGCCGCGAGCTCATCCCTAGGCACAGATAGAAGATCAAGTGACATGTCCCCGGAGAGGCGGCGAGCATGGTCTTTGATGCCCACTGCAGGTCCGTGCTGCGCTCCACCGGTTCCCACCTCCGTGGGCTCGTGGTAGCCGACCTTTGGAGGGCGGTAGCGTGGATCACGTAGGTTGTTTGGCAGACCGAATGCGTTAAGCATCGAAGGATGATCTGTGTGCGCGTTCAAGATCTCGATGGTGAAGCCAATAACCAAGTAGACCCAAGCAATGAGCAGTCCTAGGAGGCCGGTGCGAACATTGAACCAGGCCGGGGACTCCCCCTGTTTGCCCAGGGCACGGTGCACATCACGTCTCTTTGCCTCAGAGGCATCGTAGGTCAAGCGGCCTGCTGGTCCACTGCTCTGCATGCCACCCTCTGATGCTTTCCGCATCTCGCCGACTAAGTCGTTCTGGCCTGTTTCGAGGTGACGTGGAGGAGCGACCAGCCAGACTGCGTGCTTGAAGGCCTTCGGAAGCCGCCACTGCCCTGGCCACCAAGTGCCTGCTGGCACTTCAGCTTGGTCAGGTGCCGAGAAGTCGGGTGCGCAAATCCGGAGCAGCTGGACGGTGTAGATCTTAGCATCTGCGAACGCATGCAAATGCATTACGCACAAGCATCGCCAGATTCCGGGTTTTTTCTAGTTTCGTGGACATACAGACGGTGCCACAAACTAGGCTCCAGGCAATGTGGAAGGCATAGGCGACGTAAACAAGGACATATCCAACGACCGCCGTGCCCTCATCGTAGTAGGTCTGGTACTCGATGGCAAGGGCGACCCAGACTACCAACTGTGCCATTGGACCCAAACGCTGCAAAGGGAAATCCACCTGGCCGGGCATGATGTCCAGCGTCAGGAGGATGTGTTGCAGCACGCAGGTGGAAATGCAGACCAAGCCAGCGGCAAAGACTGCCCGATTCTCGCAGAACAAGTGGCCCATGTGTTGGTATGTCCAGCAGTGGATCAGATGCATGAACGCAAGGAAGATGCTGATTCGTGCATACACATCATAAGGCCACCACTCATTCTGGATCTCCCGATAGACTTCGAAGTGTTCCGGTGCTGTCCCTTGTGCAGCCAAGGGCATCATGCTTTCGAAAGGCTCGCCTTGGTCAATTGCCACCTCCTTGCGGTACCAGGCAGGCACATCGGGTCCATGACGGGTACGGCCTCGAGCATCGGGATCGATGTCCATGCCCTCGTTGTAGTCGTCTGTCTCCCCGGTCTCACCAGAACTGCGATACTGATGCCGCAAGAAAGGAATGCGCAGGACCTCACGAAGAGGCTGCTCCTCCCAGGATCCCAGGAACTTTCGAGCACGGTCCAACATCCAGTTCGCTGGGATGGGCAGCCTGACGAATCGTGTGAGCATGTGAGTTGTTGCGGCATTTGCACGCAAGCAGGCATGCATGGCCAGCCACATGGTAAGACCGAGCCATATGTAAGCACCGCCAACGTTCACCATCATGAGGCCCATGTGCCAGCCAGGCGGAGGGGGCGTGTGCAACCCAACTCGACCAGGACAGAAGATGGCCGTGAGAATGGTGGCGGTCATGCCAGCAATGTCCGCATACACGTGCATTCGGTTTGTTGTGAGGGTTGTCAGGTCTACCAAGTCTTCTTTGTACTGATCTGTCTGCGCACAGGCCATGTTGAAGCCAGCATTGAAGCGAGACCAATGGAGCCTCAGCGAGACTGTAACAGTGACTCTAAAAGTGCCAAAAGTGCAACAAGTCTCATTCATGTCAGAAACAGAGAATTACAGAGTTCGGAGTCGTCAGAGATCGTCAAAAACCGTCAGAGCCCGGGCCACACTGTACTGAGTCGCGTGCTTTTGATCCATCATGTAATTGCCACGGTTGTAGCCAAAAAGGCCAATCCCAACACCTCCAGCCGTAGCCGCGCCGGCAGCGGCATATCCCGCAGCTCCGAGCTCCATGTTTACCTAGGCAGCAAGGTAATTGTGGCTTCTGAAAAGCTAGAAACTGCCGGGCACAGCAGACTCAGAAGCTCAGTGAACTCACAGACAGTGTCTAGAGTGCAGTCCAAGAGCTTAGCTTTGCAAGTTCTTGCAGTTGCCAGGTAGCCCTCTAGGCACAACCTGGTACTTCCGGGACCGTCAGGTCCAGTCTTGCTTGAGAGCAAAGACTGCGGAAAACTCTTCAGAAAGGCACCAGGTAGAGAACTTTAAGCCACTAAGCACTCGGTAGCGGAGCAACAGGCGCGCATGCTCTCAAAACAGCTGCGCCATGCTCTTGTCAGCATTGCCCACCTGCTGATCATTCACTAAGATTCTCTGGTGGACAGCCTGAAGCAAAAGCTACACACGTGCTCACACAATCCCAACACTTGTCAAGAAATCAAAAGAAAGAAGCTGGCCTCAGAAAGCACCAGCTGAAAATCTGTAAAGGCCTGCGAGCATATCAAGGAGGCCAAACGTGTTCTCTCCCCCGAGCTCTCCGATGCCCTGGCCTGCTCTTCTTCCCCTTCTGGCATTCGCCAAGGCTTCAGCCTCCGAGGGAGATGCTCTGATCTTGGACAGGACAAGGAGACAGGTGTCTAGAAAAAGTCTCAAAAAGATACTGGATCGGCAATCTATCAGCTCAACCGGTCTCGAGCAGCTTTGGGCGCTTTCGGGACTTGCCACGATCCGCATCTGAGCTCTCCGGCTTCAGCTTAAACTCCTCCATGATTCTGGACAAAAGGCCATCCTCTGCGACACCAAATATATATATATATATATGTATATATATATAGAGATATAATATGGCCTCTGCGCAGGGCGCACAGCAATGTGTAGGGGCGCTGCCAGATCGTGTCTGAGCTGCTGAGGGTCAAGAACCCTGGACTCCGGCGCCAACTTTTTGAGAGTCTCCCTGCACCGAGCAATAGATGGGCACTGGGCACAGTATGGCATAGTGCCTACAGTTCATGTTTGCGGAAAGTTGGAACAAGCAAGCTGCCGGTAGTGCTTGGCTGCCTGAAGCGTTTGTGCAAGTCCTCCTTCACGGAGACAGTCTCTACTTTCACGAAAGCCTTAGCTTGAGGACATGCTACTGTGCCACTGAAGGAGAACGCAGCTTTGTCTTGCAAGCTTCGGCCTTCGTTTTGGCCCTGAGGTTCTGGCCTCTCGCAGTCCGATCGCCATGTCTTGCGCATTTTCTTTGAACGCCTGGCATAGCGGATTCGTGCCATCGGACATCTAACATAATGCCACACTCACCTTGGCAAAGTTCATGACCTGGGTACCCAAAAAGCACGATTTGCAGAAACGCTGAGAGCTGTGAGGGGTGGAGAGCTCGAGGGCTGGAGAGCTGAGCCGGCAGCAACCTGCTGGAAACCTGTCGTGGTGATCTCACAGCCCAGGGGAGCCTTGGTATTTAGGGTACCCTGGGACTGCAGTCGGGTTGGTATCAAGGCTCAGGTGCCAGCTGACGGCTGTGGAAACTTTCCGCCCCCGAAAAACTGATCGCTGAACTTGTCCTGCCGAGCTAAGCGACCAACAGCCAGATGCCCCCTTGTCTAGGGGCGTGGTGCATTCCAGAAGATGCAAGGTTGGGGCCGGGGTTTTTCAGGTGTTGAACGCGTTGAAAGGCTCAAAGCTGCACAAGAGTGGGCTCTTCTTCGCTCTTGCAGTGTCCAACAAGTACAGGAAGTCGCTGTCGATCGCCTCTATCTCTCCCGTGTATGTGGGCCTGAAGCTCTCAATCCGCACGGGGAGCGCCCTGCAGTGGCTCCATCAGGTCATGAGTCATGAGTCATGTTTGGGCACAGGCTTTGTCACCTTCAAGCCAGGATGAGGTAGGCCCCAGGCTGCTATGCCTTGGGCCCCAAACCGCCGCCAAGTCGTGAATATATGCTTGGACTCAAAAATGCCCCGAGGGCCCAAGTCAGGCCGGACCCTCAATATGTTGAAGCTGCCCAGTTTTTTGGGGGGTCGCTGTACAAAGATTCAATGCGCTGGCCAGAGAGTTGGGTGGAACACCCACATATACTGGTGACGAATGTGTACTATATAACCGGAAGATCACAACACATAAAACAAAATCAAAGCAACCTGGCCTTCAGCCTGGCCCTTGAGTGGAGAATTGACTCGGGGTCCGCGCTGCGGAAGGTGGATTTGAGGCGCTCGACCTGAACAAAGTACATCAGAAACAGAGAGAGAGAGAGAGGGAAAGGGAAAATAAAACAGAAGATAATCAAAGAAAATGAATAAACGGGCGAAGCCATGGAAAAAGCGAAGCTTCTAACAGGCTTCCTACGGAACCGAGAGCCGCTTGCTGAAAGCACTTGGCCACGAACCCGCGGTTTGGCGTCCTGTCCGCTGATTCAGAGTGATCCCATCACCATCGTGCAGTGCGTCTGGTCATCACAGGCCAGCCTCTGGCACCTTCTTCTCACTGAGGTGATCATCCAGGTGTTCCCGCATCTGCTCCTACCGGCATCACTTGCGCTCCACAGAGCACAGCACGCCAGCACATCTCTGGAGCATCTGCCTTGCATTCGCCGATGTTGAACCCATCCTGCCGCAGATTGTGGTGTCCGGCATGCGTCCACATGTGTCCGTGCCCACAACCTCCCCTTTGACGTCAGGCCACCTCATAGTTCACCCAATCTCGCACGAGCAGCTCCAGGTGCCCAAACCTCGGAGACTCGACAGGAAATAGGGTGACTTCATGCTGACCTTTGCACACCAACTTCAGCACCATGAGACATGCTAAGGAGCGGACGGCGCATCTTTGCCTGGAAGGTCACTGCAAACAGTTTGCCTGAGAGCAGGTTCCGAACAGCGACAGCAGATGCAAAAGCACATTGAAGTTCATTCTTACAACTTGTCCCCGCCCGAGCTCAAATGGCTAACACCCCCAGGGGCCCCCACGCGAACGTGGTGATGTAGTCCATGTTCTCCAACTGTGCCGGGCAGAAGAAGGAACGTGTGCCCGACATAGTGTTAAGGTGACAAGACATACAAAGATGTCAAAGTATCGAGGCGATGTTACCCAGCAGGGGGCTTCACCTTGTCTTCCTCCACGCGGTTCTGGATGTTGTATATCCTCGGCACAAGGACGGCTGTTGCCCTGCAAAATGTTAAGCGTCCCCATGAGACAGCTTCTCCCATCTACGAGTAGCTGCTGTCAAGGCACAGCTTTGACGAAAGCAAGGCTGTCAAGCCGAAGATGGTGGCACTGGCATTGCGAAGCGGTAGTTCGAGCACCAGTTCACCATCTTTGAATTGAACGGCACAACATGCGCAGCCACAAGGCCTCTGTGCTTTGGTCATGGTATCATCCCAAGCGCCTGAGTGCTGCAACACCCAAGACGTTGCCCTTTTGGCATGGATGAACTGATGTTGCCTTGCGTGTCCATCAGGAGCACTGCGATTTTGCGGCCCTCCTCGTGCGACACGTAGATATTTTGGATACAGCACATCGTGTTGCAGCTGCAAGCGTCAGCAAGCGCTCAGATCCTGATCTCTGAAAACGAAGGGAGAACTCCAAAGCCAGATGCCTTGCGTGCACCTCACGACAAGCGTCAGAATACAATGCCCTCTAGTTTGCCTTGTTGCTGTGCTGTGGCATTCGGAATGCCTTGGTGTAATCAACTTCTTTGCTCGCACAGCTTTTCTGAGCAAGTCACTTGTCCTTTCCAGGACGCCATGCAAAGCCGGAGCAAGCTTCGTCCAACTTCGACCCCTGCCCGCTCGCTCTGAGATGCCAAAAAGCATGCACCGGGTGTTCGATAGCACGCGACTATGCCGGTATTCTAAAGAGGAGCTGGCTTAGAATCATTTAGAATCACCCCTGGCAAGCCCTTTTTTGGAAAGCAAACCCGCCGAGCGGCCTCGTGGATGCGGGAGGCATCGCCTTCCAGCACCTCAAGTGAAGCGCGAGCACCCGAAGAAGGCCGAGATGTCATGCATACAGCGAATATACAATGCCATATATGTATGTTGGGGTGGGGGGGGTGGGGGGGGGGGGGAATGGACGGGTAGCTTGGGGTCGAGTCGCCGCAAGCACTAACAGCAGTGTCAGACTGCGGGCGGAACCCAATCTGGGGGCTTGTTCTTCTTTCGATCTTCCTCGCAAGAGACCCAACAGCTAGCAGCTGACAACAGGGACTGCATGCTGCACACGAGCTCACTGTCACAGCTCTGGTCCTCGCCGAAACGCCAGCCGTCATCTGTCGGTGCAGGAGCCGGCTCTCCTAGGCGCCAGTTCACGGCTATGTCGCTCTGTACATCGAGTCTACGAATGCTCTTTACATGCTCTTCACACCCCGATGCTCCTTTTTTCCTCAGCCTGGCCAGAAACTCCAACAAAGGGGCTTCAGCCCCAGCGTGGTCTTGAGTGCCCAGGCATCTCGGATCCCTTCACATATCTTCGCGGGGCTTCCGGAGAGAGGGGGCTCCAGGGCAGAGAGTCCAGGAAGGGATCCGAGTAGAAAAACATAGGAACTCCTTCCGGGCAAGAGCAGTCACATCTTGAGGTTCTGAAGAGTTTCAGCTCTGATTGCGACAAACCTATCAGACGTTCGATGCGTCTAGGCACAAGGAAGCGGTGGCATCTCTTCAAAAGATGGAAAGGGACACCGACCTTTCTCTGCGTCAAGCTGGGATGGACACGCGCCCAAATGGAGTTTCAATCGACACGGGCAAATTCCCGCCGTCGATGTGGACGGGCCCTTCAGAATTCAATCCCGCAAATCTGTCTCAAAACCATATCTCTGAGGTTCAAGATTTGCCGGATTCACCGAAGGTGCCCAGGCAAGAGCTGCACGGGTTGGAAACATTCCAGAATGGAACTTTTCTGAAAAGCTTGCAACTCCGCAACTATCACAAACTTGGGGTATTCAAACAGCAGCCAGCGGGGGATCCTGTCGAAAAATCTGCGAACCAAATCACCACACCGACAAACTGAGCAACACTGTTCCCCGTCTGTCCAACTGCATCAGGTAGTCGTCATCCGCTGCCCGTCTTCGCAGGAGCGTTCTCCTTCGGAGCCTGAAAAGGCAAGCTCCTCCTCACTCAGTTACACAGGGCAAGGACAGGTAGGCTTCCAGCAGGGCGCACGCCCCACCCGCCACAAGGAGGCACAAGAACATCGGGGAGACCTTGGCAGCACGGGTGTTGTAAAGCCCCTTAGCAAATTGCTCACCCTGATCGAAACGGACTTCGGCTTCTGGGGCAAGCAGCCTTCACGATCTTGGAACCAGCCTGGCCAAGCATTCTGGCTGTGGCTGCAGCTTCAATGTGGCACAGGCATGCTCATGTTTCTTCCCATGTCTCAGATCCCCGCGCTCTGCACCAAAACAGCAGGTTGAGCAAGTTTTGCATGTGCCTGGGTTGCCTGGCAGATGCAAGCATAAGGCCAATGCTTAGTCGCAGCGTGGCATCTAGAAAGAGCAGGGCCTGGTGCTCCTCTGTTTGCTGCTGCTCCGCCTACAGGAAAGGGTTTAAACAGCTGTTTCTGACTCGAAGTCTCTCAACGTCGTAGCTCAGTTACGCAAGCATGCTGAAAACCTCTTCTAGCGGCGATCTCGCAGTACAAGGCATAAGAAGACTGAGACACACTGAGACTGAACATTGCATTGCAAGCTGTGTAACACAGCTGTTGCAATCTCAAAGCCTGCAGCTCGGCACGCAAGTGCTCCTCCCGGTCAGATCAGCTCACAAACTCTCACAGAATGGCCCTGCGTGCCGCGCATGTGCAAGGAGCGGTCCTTCTCCTCCTGACGCTGCGCGTGTTCCGTCTGTAACTCAACACCAAGGCGGTCCTGAGCATGCCATGGAAGCTGCCCACGCAGACAGAAGCTAAGCAACTGTGACTTCAACCATCTTCAACCCAGAATGAGAATGTCAAAGCATCTGCCTTCTCGGATTGCAGCTCGGCATGGAGACGCTGGCGCTCCTGCGAGGATAGTAAAAAGCAGGTGGTCAAGTGTTCAGTTGGAGATGGAGGTGTCAGGCACGAGAAGGCTTTACGACAAGCGACTATCAGGCTTTGCACCTTCATTGGCTCATTGGCGTCCAGCATGGCCATGCAACGATCTTAAGACACATCCCTCTTAGCTGAATGCCAAAAAAACGGCGAGGCCAGCATCCTTTCTCGCACGAGTCCGAAAAAGCCTCCTCAGAGAGGAGACTTACAATCTGAGTTTAGAGTCTGGTGTGTTGCAAGCACCGCTCGTGATCTCTTTGAGACGGAGTGGGTGCCAATGAGCCGAGCTCAAACCCCCAGCTTGGCAGCTGTATCAAGAACGACACACCATCTTACAGAGTTTTGCAAAACCAGCCAACACCAGCCTACAGTATCGTACACCCTGGTCAGCTTGCTCAGCTATGCTGTCGTGTAGGCTGACTGTAGAACTGCCGGCTACGACCATACAAGGCATTACAAGGCCCCCTATTCACTCACAGTCGCGCTGGCCGATTGCATTAGCAATTGGAGCATGACAGTGGGAAGCTGGGTGACACTGGATCGCAAACCACTCGAGAGAAGTCGACTACAAAGTCTCATTTTCAGGTGGCTTGGGATCCAAACCCACTGGGCCTGGCAGTAAACGAACCGAATATGTAGCATGGAAAAGCACCATAAATACAAGCAGCCACATGTAAGTAGCCACTCCGACTCTAGAGAACCCCTGGGTGCAGCTGCTGCCTTCGCAGCTCCACGATGCCTTCAGTGTTTAGATCCTGAGATAAGCCGTGCACTGACAGCCCCTGCAGAAACAAGAATGCCAGACTGCAGTAAGTGCCTGGCATTATTTTTGATCCTGACCTGCTGGACTGTGTCGAGGAGTTGTCTGCCCCCTCGCCATTCCTTCCCAGCCTGTAGCAGATGTCTGCAGGCCGAGATCGACCGCAGGTGTATGCTACCACATCCAAAAAGATTGCGCAGATGAGCAGCCACTCCAAGAGCTCCAACACATTGAATCTTCTACTCTGCATCCTAAACGCGCGCCTTCTTGATGGCCTGCACAATGGGCGAGACGTTCAACTGGTACTGGTAGTCACCACCTGCGGACAAAGACATCGCAAAGATTGCTTTGGGTTGCTGATTAGGCAATCAGCAGCAACCGAGGCAAAGGCTCTTCGCCAGAATCAAGGTCCTTCTGGCTGTCCTGAATCTGCTAGGCATGTCTTTGTCTGTTTTTGGCTTCCCTGGAGTAGAAGTGTCTTTTGCTGCGCCTCACCTGTACACGAGGTCTAGGGCATGAAGAGCAGAAGCCATGTTCTCACCAGACCTCATCCAGGGACTTCCTTGCACTTCCATGCGCTTCCATTGAGTCTCGTGAGTCTAGTGAGTCTAGTGAGTCTGAGTCTAGTGAGTCTAGTGAGTCCAGTGAGTCTAGTGAGTCTAGCGCCTGCGGTGCCTAGGCTTGCTTAGCGCAAGACGCGTCAGCCAAATCCTCGCCCAGCCCCATCCTCAAGACCAGTCAGGGACTTGTGCAAAGCTGGAGAAGCATATTCCTGGGAAGGGTGTACAACAGACAAAGCTCTGCAACAATGTCCTGAGCATATCTGGACCATAGTACAGCCTCAGCTGCTCACAAGGAACTTCCATGAACCGTTAGCTTCGCCAGCGTGAGTCGGGCACATTATCTGCGGTCCAACAGGGCTTCCTGCCAGCTCCTGATTGCATCCCGATTCGTTGGCACAAGCGAAGGTCGAAAGTCAGAAAACGTCCTGTACCAATGGGTGAAATTCGTCCAGGAGCAGCTCAGAGACCTGGTCTTCTGAAGCTGACGGAATAGAAAGGCTGGCAGACGGCGTGCACATGCCGCGCACACGCTTGCCTTGTCGGGGTTCTTGTACGTGTTTCTGGTCAAAGCCAGAACACGCAGAACTGCAAGTCCAGTTTCATGGCAAAACACCTGCGAGCGCGAGTTCTGCCACGAAATGAGATAGGTCTTGGCACCACAAAGGCAGAGCTTTCTCACTTTGGCACCTTGCTCTCGCACATTGTGGCAAACTTCGCCTGAGCAGTAAAGAGACTGTTATGTAACAAGACATTAGCCCAAACAATGTGCCGCCTCGAAGTCTGGATATGCCTTTTTGAAGTTGGTGTACAAGAAATTGAAATAGAGGGTCCTCAGCTTGTAATGCTTTCATGTCCCTGCGTCTTGCTGCATGTGAGGCCTTTTCTGACGCACGTTCTTCAAGTTCAGCAAGCATCCGATCATCAATCTTGGGATTGTCCACAAGCTTTGAGATTAGATCGTCCATTGCCTCGTGGTCTGCGGTCTGTCTCCCGGATAGAGCAGCATGAGCCCATCTGAGCCCATCTGAGGCCAGCACAGCCGTGAAGCCCATGTACACAGGTTGTATCGCGATTGGGAAAATGAACTTCTCGTTGCAGCCCGCACCTTCCCCCAAGAACACGTCAGTTTGGGGGACCACTGCCACGAGTCGCAAGCATGCGATCACATGAATCATACGGCAAGATATGGCAAGGCCTGCAATATCAAAAATCGAATGATAGAAGTAGTAGTGCAGCGTGCCTGACAGCAAACGAGGTCTGCGCTCCACTAGCCAAGCACTTGCAGTTGCAGCTGTGAGCCGCTTGCCGTTCATCAAGTGCTTGCGGTCCAGGTCCAGCAAGCCATTGAAGTTTATGCAAGCGATTTCTCCTGAGACCATCTGACAACCCATGCTTCGTAAACACCATTTCTATTGGCGCCGCAGTCCTTGACCCAACTGCGGTAGCTGAAAATTCGTGGCAAAACCTGCTCAGGGCGGCTCACAAGGCAACAAGAGGCATGTGAGCAGGCAAGACCGGCAAGACCGAAAACAAGATGGAGAGCGAGTCCTGCCAATATGGACTCCTGCCGCGATGGCGAAAGTTTCGCAACCTTGGGCTAGACACCACTTGAGCAAGCTACCTTCCGCAGAAACTACCTAGAACAGCTGTGGTTAGAAAATGTCAGTATTTCAGCGAGCCAAGATTCTGTCGGCAGCAGCTTCCTGGCAGCGATTGTAGTCAAAGACGCATTGCACAGGCCGCGGTGGTCCTTTTCAGCTCTGGATCTGCAAGAGCATATGCCAGTGAACGATCGTGATCGTCTGAGCCTCAGATCATGGGAGCGGCGCACAACATGCGAAAGCCAAGTGCAATAACGCGCATCACATGCCCACAAAGATCCGAACGCATGTCAAACGGTAGAGAATCGTTGACCACCTGGCGCATGGCACCCATGGCAAGTTTGTCCTCAGCACCTCTCTACAGCTGAATCCTCACATTGCCGTCCGCGGCACAGCAACAGGGGCTCTGAAAAAACAAAGTTAAACAACTTGGAGTGCCTGCCTTACGGAAGCCATCGTTCTTGCCGACATCATGCACAACAAGGAAGACCTCACATTAGGACACAATAAACTGCTCTGAACCATGGCAGTCACCCTTTCACCTGCGACAGCCCTAGTTAACACTCGTTGCTGTTCCCGTGAGTCTTGCTCTGAGATTTCCACCAGCATGCCCCACCAGTCGTCTTCACAGGTCATGTGAGCAGCAAACTTCCGGCAGAACTCCTTGTACTCATCTTTCTTGTTGCCCATGTTGATGAATTTGCCGGGAATCTGGCATAGCGCAGCCGCCGACGCCGAAGCAAGGGCAAAACTCAAAAAAACACCTTTCGTCAAAGCACATTTTACCCCTAGGCTCTCGAGGCCCGGGTCCTTGTCCACGCTCATTATCCCGCGCTCACCGGCGGTCATGCACTCAAGGCCAAAGTCTTCCTCCGACACGTGACTGGCGCAGCCCGTCTTCTGAAACCAGATCATGTAACACCACAAGAATCTGCAGTAGGGTCCTCCATGAAGGAGGAATAACACGCAAGCAGGGCGATGATGGCCCCGACCGTTCCTGGAGACGCGCGTCGAACGACGGCTACTGTGAAGGCAACAGCTGAGTACAGTCAGGAAGCGATAGTACTCTGTCGGGCTCCCCGAAATTTCCTTCACACATGCCAGTAGCTGCCAGCACAAGACATCAATGGAAAAGACACACGACTGAACAGGGCCTCCACACCAGGACTTGTCTGAATTCGGCCCTGTTTGTATATGCCCAGCTCAGGGAAGGTGTCATCTAGCTCTTTCAGGAAATCCTTGCGCTGCATTGGTCATTGTAGCTGGTCTGTGTCGCACTGCGGCTTCCACGCTTCGAAGAAGACGCAACTGGCGCCTTGTTCTGGACGGCGTCCGGAGCTTTGACGACACCACCGCCAGCTTTGAGAAGATCCACCAAGGGCTTGATCTGGCGCAAAGCGGAGAAGTGGAGAATCACTCGACACAACATGTCTGCGACATGTTTCACATGTTTCACCGGCATTAGGCCCCAGCCTTCCTTCCTGGTTCTTCAATTGGAACATCCCGGCAACCTCACAGCTCAATGCTCCCAATGGCTCCCACCAGCAGTGTTGCTCTCAAATGTGCTCTCTGTCAAGCTCTCTTTAAGGCTGCTACTGCACGCTTGGTTCCCCATCACCGTGGACCGGCATGGAACGGGCCTGCAGCCAGAACATGCAATGACTGTATCATAAATCAAGCAACGCCGCATATTCCAAGCTTGTGGGCACAAGGCCTGCTTCAAGAAGGTCTGCAAACCTGACTGCTGTAAAAGAGGCTGTATACAGAGTCAGTCTGGGCATGAAAGACGGCAACACGAAGGTCTCAGCGCGCAGCCTGCCATGCAGAACCTTCTTGTGCAACGGAAGTCAGGGCATCGCACATACTTGAAAATGGCTGCAGAAGGACACTTCAAGAACACCTCTCAAAGCTTGTCCCAATGATCCAAGATGTTTCGCGTGAATTGTCGGCAACATTCGAAGGAAAAAGAGCATATGGAAAGCAAGACACAAGTACAAGAAACACACGCACGCACGCACGCACGCACGCACGCACGCACGCACGCACGCACGCACGCAACCACAGAGACACGCAGACACGCAGACACGGAGACACACAGACACATTCTCCTTCTGCAGCTTCTCCTCCTCTCGTTGCTGCTCTTGGGTTGGTTCCGCAGGCCTCAGATGGTACTCGCCGCCCAATATGGGTCGGCTAAGGGGGGTCGTAGGATGCTGTAGGATGCTGTAGCATGCTGTAGGGCTCTGTGCTTTTGAGTGCTTCATTCCTCCCTGTGTTTCATGTTTGGCTTTGCAGCTTGGCCCGGCACTGGACGGACGACCCAGCAGCAAGAAGAGTGGGCCTGAGAGACAAAAGAAGCGTCGTCCAACATGAACGGCTATTGCCGGCACAGCGGTATAGCTGCCATAGCTCTCAGGTCTAGGGTCGGGACGTGCTAGCCGCAGACGGTTGTGCCTGCAGCACATCCCCAGGTATATATTATTTGTTTATATATAATATGTGAACTTCTTCTGAAAGCGGGACACCGATGAGACCTGCATGTACTTCTGATAGTTGCCAGCATATTGAGCGATGTACTTCCTGGGCAGAGAACATAACCCAGCTATCTGCTAAATACTCAGCAGACAACTTCTCTGGTCCGCAACAGAAAAAGTCGGCAATCCACCGCTTCTGGTGGAAGGGGACCCAGGGAAGTGAAGTCCTTGATGACTCGTTCCACGCTGCTCTCCCAGCAAACTGTCAGTTCCAGACCCGCATGCTGCCTCCAAGACCCAAACATGTTCGGAACGGTCTGCCCTTTCCGTCCAATCTGAACACCCCTCCAGGCAAGAACTGCCCGAGCTCCCGTCTGGGGGCTCCTCTAAGCTTCCTCAAACAAATTCCAAGATTCTGAAATCCGGCTGACTTGCCTTCGGCGCTTGTTACCGGCGCAACTGGATCGCCGCGCTCTTGCCTGCGCACTGCAACCGAATCCGAGCAGGGGGCAGCAAAAGAATCGTAGACTTTTAAAGGGACCTTCGAGGGAAACACGGCCGACACAAGTTGAGAAAAAAAAAAACACAATCCGAAGCCGGACCAACCGTCTCAAGCATGGTAGTCTGGGGCCAAGTTGCACATGCGTTGCGTAAGCATCTGCATAACCTTTCATGTAGTGCTGGAAATCAGCTGACTCGTGTTTGCCCTTGTTCTGCTCGAAGTTTTTGTACTCACTGAAATACTTTCCAAAGTCCCCTGCAGCTTCGCTTCCCCTGGTGCTCATGTACCTGTCCAAGGCACCAGTATAATTCCCAAAATTTCGATTCTGCAAAAAATGCTGAAAGTCTGCAGAAACTGCGCCAGCAGTCTTAAAATCTGGCGGCTGGCTTGCAGTTTCGGCTGCAAGAAGTGCTGGTGATGCAGTCGCACTGCTATCTGACGAGGCTGAATCCTTCTTGGCCAGAGTATCAGACTTGTGCTTGGAGTTTCCTGCGGTGCCTTCCTTGTTGGCCTGGCTCTGGATGAATTTCTGGTAGTCTGCATACTTGGCCATGTAACGAGAAAAGTCCCCAGGATGTGAAGCCTGCCCCTGCATAAACTTCTGATAGTTCACGTCTGCCTTGGCGCTGTCAGTACGTGCCGAGCCTTGCCCCATGTTTGCGAAGCCACTCGCATATTGGTCCATGAACTTGGAGTAGTCCGAACCACCACCTTGGCTTGTTTGGCCATCTTGGCCCATGTATTGGGCCATGTAGCTTTCTCCCGGCGAGCCACCCTGCTGCATGCGCTGCATGTACTTCGTGTAATCTGCATATTGCGCCATGAAGTCTTCGGCCTGGGAGCCATGCGAGCCCTGTGATTGTGAGCCGTGCCCCATGTACTTGGAGTAGTCACTCGCATACTCATTCATGAACTTGGAGAAGTCACCTCTTGGGCTCGAACGACTCGGCTAGGACATGCTGCGAGCTAGGAGCCCTAAATGCAAAAACAACAACTCGAAAAGATGGCTTAGGAGAGGCTAATGAAGGATTGCTCAAAAGGTGCAACAGTCTACTGTACTTTGACGTCTTGATATGAACCGACTGTTCTGTGACATCAAGACTGGACTTGCCTCCTTGGCCACTGTAGTGCTGGAAATCCAAAAACTGTTGGTAGTCTCCACTGCCTGGTGAACCTTGTCCATGGGTATATTGCTTGAAATATTTCCCATACTGGCCACCATGTGAATCCTGTCCTTGCATGTACTTCTGGAAGTCCGCATATTGGTCCATGTACTGGGCGAACGAAGCCCCACCTCTTCCCAAACTGAACGGTCACACTTGCTTGGGTCATTTGCGGCACAAGCGAAAACAATAAGATAGTGTTGCATCGGAGGCAGCTTGCCAACACCGTCCCTGGCAACATGTACCCGCAATCACAGAAAAAATATACATATATATATACATATATACAGACATACATATTTACACAAATCAATCCAGCGAAATTGCTTTGCTTTACGGACACCCCAGCTGGTATTTACAAGACAGAAGTTGCCTTCGGGCACAGTAAGGGCTCGTGCGCAAGTACGAGTGGCAACGGATGCATAGTAGCAAATACGCAAGCGATGGAATCACTCTGCAAGGAAACGCCCCCAAACTGCAACAGAAATCGATCCGCTGAACACGTGAAAAAACAGAGAGGTGGACCTGGCTGTGAGATAGATGGCACGCAAACCGTCCATAAGCATACCACATCGGAAGACTTCTGCTTGAGTCAAAGTGATTAAGGGTAGATGCCTCAACGACTGCCGATAAGTATCTCAGAAGAATCTTCCAACGCCATTGTCCGAGGGTCTAAGTTTCAGAGAGCAAGGCAGGACGCAAAGACTGGGGAACATGTCGCTCGGCCTTGCGCAGGATGTCCCGGAGAGCCATGGCCGCGCATGTACTGCTGGTAGTCAGACGCATACTGGTCCATGAAGTTTGAGAAGCCTCCTGTTTCCGAGCCCGCCGCTTCAGCTTTCTGCTGGTTCCCTGCATACTGATTCATGTAGTGAGAGAAGTCTCCGCTTTCTGACCCATGACCCTGAAGATACCTCTGAAAGTCCATGTAGGACTTTGCGTGGCCATCATTTGCCTGCGCATGCTGGTCAGCTGCCACTAGCGCCACAGGGCTCACAGGGCTAGCCGGAGTAGGCCCAGTGGGCCCATGCACCATGTTCGTGTTCTTCGTGGTCTGTGCCTTATCACCAGACATGAAATTTCCTGCATACTGGCTGAGGAATGACTCGTACCCATTCCCGCCCGCACGGCCTCCATTCATGTACTTGGTGTAATCGGAATACTGATCCATGTATTTCTGATAATACTTGCCAAATCCAGACCCACCCGCAGATCCACCGCTGCCAATGTACTTGTTGTAATCACCAGCGTATTGGTCGAGGTATCTCTGATATGATCCGCCGGCCTCAACACCCCAGTTGGTGCAAGCAACAACCAACAGGTACTAGCAACAACATCTTTTACCCTTCCTGGTCCACACACCCAAAAAGAACCATAAGTCAACAGCCCAAACAGTACTGGCAGGCGCCGAAACGGAAGCCTTGTGGAAGAAACCTGTGACCTTGCCTGCCTGCCGATTGTGCCTGTAGCCTGAAACCGTTCAGGAACGGACGCCTGTTGCTGAGCTAGTGCGGCTGGAAGAAGCGAGATCACAGCAGTGAGAACTGCCATGACCTAAAGCCAGGTTGACAACAATCAATTCGGAAATGGCAATATAACCTGTGTCCGCGCAAATCACGCTCCACCAGAAAAACTAGTCTGTCCAAGCAAAGCCACTCGCTGCTACACGTAAAAGGGCCAGCAGCGTGAAATCACACACGTCGGTGCGAACATTTACTGTTCAACACCAGCAACTCAGAGCCGAAAGAAGTGCCGCAGAATCATGGGGAGTGAACAACCACAACTAGACGAGGATATCTCTCACTCACTGGACACGCAATCATCATGAATTTCCCTGGATTCAATCAGTGAAACTAGTGAAAACTAGTGAATACGAGGCTGAAGCTTCGGGCTCTGCGCACTGAGGCGCGTGCGCTGAGCAGGCAATGGCGGGACCTCGAGCAAGCAGACCACGGGCCCCGTCTTTAATCAGCTACAACTGGCTACAACAGCAGAACGCCTACATTGTTGTAAGGACGCTTCGCCAAATTCGCATCCAGCAAGACTGGCAAGACTTAGACCAATATACGGAAGCCTGCCAAAGTTGCCACATACATCTGCTGTGCCCCAAGGCCCGCACCACAGAAGGGTCTTGAGTCAAAGCGTCAAGCTGCGCCTTCTCCAGTGCCCGCTCCTGCACATGTTGTGAAACATGGGCAAGCGTGCCATTTGTCATCTTGCTGTGACAGAGCAGCTTGCCAGAAATCGGCACCTGTGCGGCTTCTTTCGCGGCCTTTTTCTTCAAATAGCGGGCCAGCAAATCGAGCAGGAAGCTTTTGCCAGTGCGGTACCTTGAACCCGGAAACCGGATTCAACGCTGAAAACTCCCATGCAAGGACAGTATCGACAGTTTCGAAAGTGGAAAAACATTCCCATGCTGCCGGATCACGTCCCCATAACCGCAATTATGGACACATAGCTGGCTCCTGATTCATTGAGCTTTACACCTGGCATCAGTGCAACGGCAAGCCAAGTCCACAAAGTTTGCCATCCACGTCCCATGCCGTCAAGGAGCTTATTTTGTCCAAGTTATCTTTGAGAATCTCCACTTCTGAGGATTCCTGAGGACATGTGACATGGGCCATGCCCGGGACATGATTTTGGCTCAGGAATGACATGCTGAGCTCAGGTCTGGCTTCAACTCCAAAATCTTCAAGGGAGTGTTGTCTGCTCCTGACAGCAACCAGACAAACCACACATGCAACTCCGATGGCTCAGAAAAACGAAACGAACACAATCTGCGCATCGCGCGAAATGCCGTGTCCTTTCATGTTTTACCGCACCAAAGCCACTGATCCATCTGGGTTGTACTACTGTGCCAGCGGAGGCGCCCTAACTTGAACCTGCAAATGCGCCGCAGCAAAAACTAGTTGGTCAATGTGTAAACAGCTGTAGACCCTTCTTCATGGTTGGCTGAAGGGACCGCAGGCTCATGCATTTCTCTAAGGATTACATATAGATTGTATAAGGGGTTATATAGGAGTTTATGGGGACTATACCAGGCCTGGTCATGGCCTGTGTTAGAGTATAGGTGTGCAGGGAGAGCCAAGCCATACTAAGGCAATTGATGCATCAAGCTATAAGCTGCTGCAGGTTGGGGCCCTACCACAGTCTCCTTCACATGCAGGGGCGCAAACACAAGCGTGACCCTGAAAGACTGTTGCCTTGGCAACAGCATCAGAAAACAACCTGCTTCAAAACGTGACGTGGAGAAACCTTGTGCAACTTTTTACAGGGGAGCAGCGCTTAGAACAGCAGATAAACATGTACAATAAACAATGTTTCCAAGCAAATGTGGAGCGAGTAACATGCTGAGACTTTACGAGCTTCGCAGAGCAGACAGGGATTTCCGCAGTTGGTCGCCCCCGAAAGTTGGCTTGACACACAACACGTTAAGCAGATCTACCTGTGCAACCTGGGAACATGCAACGCTTATTCAATGCAGAAAAGGCACGGGAAACTGGCGTAGCTGCAGGTATGACTAGGGCTCTTATCAACTGACACATAAGGTGGGCAAACACCAGGCATCAGAAGTATATGCTATCACCCTGGCTATCAACTGGCGATTGTCAGCACTGCTCTTGGTATAACTAAACTAATTATCTGAACATCCTTACAACACAACAACACTACGCAGGCCAAGGCCGTAGCAATTTTGCATCGTTGGCCGCTTGCTTAACCTCGCACTCGCTGTTTGCGTACAACCGGACGCAAAAGGACGAATACACCTTTGTAAGTAAGAAAATCTGCCAACCAGCAGTATACACAGTTATACAATATTAGGCGGCGGGCGGTTGTGCGATTCGGGAAAAGGACTATCCTTTGCAGATCACATCCCGTGATGCATGAGACTGGTCTGAGGACACTGAAAATCGATTTGGCAAAGCTAGCGGTGAACAGTGAACCAACCATCTTAAGTGAAAGGTGGAAACGGTTAGAAGTTGAGGGATTGCTGCTGCTCGAACTGACATTGTACCTTGAAACCACAAAATCTTTGCTACAAGGGTGTATCCTGAGAAATCCTCGGACCCATATCCATCGTGATCTCCATCTCCTGAAGATAACCACAATTATTTATTGACTTGACGTCTGCTGCGTAAAACCATGTCAAACCTCTAAGTTGCTTTTTGTGCCCATGGCATAAAAAAATTTTGACATGGCGCCCCCACTGTGAGCCACCTTGATGCCGGACGACTGCATCCCACCACCGCCACCACCACCACCACCACTGCTACTACCAGGGAGAAGCATATTTGGAACATGTTCGACTCAAGTTTCAGGCTCGCATTCACAAGACTAGTGACTACTCAGCGCGAGGCGAGGCGAGACGCAAGTGAAGAATAGAGCACTTAGTTCAGGATGTCCTGCCCACTGCTTCCTGAGAGATGGCAAAACGGCCCACGACAAAACTGCAAAATGAAAAATGAAAAAAAAATGACATGCATATCTCCATGCAATCACTAGGAAAGTCTTCGGTGAACGACAACAACAGCATGCACAGCAGATGACACAAACGCCCCGTGAGGGGGCAGCACCCATCCAACCTCGCAGTGTAACACCTTGTTTTGCGGCGCTTCTATTTTTCTTGGACCCAGAATGTCTTTATCTTGACCCCGGAATCCGTTCTTTTTGTTGTGGGTGTTTTTTTGCTGTGGGTGTTTTTTCGAGGGCCGTCCCGGTGAGTGAGTGACCTGGCGCGTGTCGCCCCGCACCCGCAGCAAAAAAAAACGCGCCCCCGCACCCGCAGCAAAAATGTAAACCACCCCACCCCCCGGTCTTTTTTTGCAATTGCCTCAACACCCCCCCTCTTTTAAACTGTGCAAGCGTTTTCAAGGCATTGAATCCTTCCCAAGCCCATCATGCGAGCATTGTGTTGCAAACGGCGGAGGGAGGGCTGCGCTCCGCCCAACCCCCCCGCTCTTTTAAACCGTGCCAGCTCGCTTCTGAGCATATGAATCCTGTCCAAGCCTATCATGCGAGCATTGGGTTTGCAAATGAGGGTCCTGCGGGGGGACCCGTGATTTCCGACCCCGCAGGCTGCCCCCCCCAAACCCCCTCAAGCCATGCCAGCTTGCTTCAAACCATCATGCGAAACCCCGGCTTGAAATGGGGGGGGCTGCGATTTTTTAAGCTGGGCCAACTTGCTTCAATTATACGAACCCCTTCCAAACCCATGATGGTGCGAGCATTCCTCCCAACCCCCCTCCTACTTTTTTCGCCGGGCCTTCAAAGCATCTGAACTCTTTCCAAACCCATGATGCGAAGCATTGTGTTTGCAAATCGAGGGGGCTGTGCCCCCCCACCCCCCTTTTTCTAGCCGGCCAAGCTTGCTTCAAAGCATGCAAACCCCTTCCAAACCCATGATGCGAGCACTGTGTTAGGGTCTGCGCAGCCCCCAACCCCCACGCACAAGGTAGAGACGCACAGAGACAACCAGAGTGACAACAAAACAAAAGAGCAAACCTCAAAACTACAAAGCGGAGGGTGCAGGTCAACCACACACACACACAGGCAACGGGCAGCCGAGCAATGACAGAAATCAGCCGTGTTATGCGGATGCGCGGGTCCGTTTTTTCAGCGAGTTTGCGGTCCTTGCAAGACGCATTATGGGATCTGAAGGGCCAAGGCTCATTTTTTTTCGACATCCAGTCGAACGTGGAATTTTTTTGCAGGTTTGGGAAACGCAGAATCATCTGAGTTCCAATGGTCAAACGTCCGCGGTGGCGCGACTCTCCTTGACCGCAGATGGGAAACATGGTGTCTACCTGCAGAAGGGAGCCCAAAAAGGTAGCAAGCTCTGACACACGACAATGTGCGTCGCCTTCTGCGCCGTGTGCATTGGAGAGAGAGCGGGAACAGCAGCTCTCAAAACAGATCGCTTCATTGCCTCGCTGTTGCAGTACACAGCCACATGCCGGACGCTCCAAACAAGCATTGGCCGGTGCCGTCGCTCTCTTTCTTCCTTTGTATCATTTTCTTCTACTTTTGAACAAAGGTTGTTGGCGAGCGCGCCATTTTTGTCACAGATCGCTTGGTCTCTTGTCCTTTGGGCGGACGCCTGCTTGCTAGGTGCGGATCTTCGATGCGGAAAACAAGAAACGACAAAAGAATGAACATGAAAAGCTTTGGAGCTTTAGGCCATGGTGTTTCTACTTTCATGGTGGCAACAAAACTAAGAGAGCACATTATCGCTTTACGAGAGCCCAACCCTAACTTAATGCAAAAGGAGGAAGTGCATGCGCCCGCTTTGCTCGAAGCGTGGGAGGAAGACCTCCCTTGGAATCGTACGACCAACTCCCCCACACAACTTCGTTCAACGGTTACAGGCCAGGTGGCCTCCACTTACGTGGCAAGGCCCAAACACAAACACAAACACAAACAAACTGCAAGTTGCAAGTACAAGTACAACTACAATTACAACTACAAATGCAAATGCAAATGCAAATACACATACACATACAAACACAGATACAGATAAATACAAAACAAACACTCGGTCGGATCAGTGGTCTGCTCATTACCCACCTTGAGGATTCGATCCCATGACTCTTGGAATCTTCGCAGTGTCAGCCGCAGAAAGCAATTCAGATTCTGTCTGAAGTCTGGAGAATGGGCCCCCCCCCCCTTTGAGCAAAGGGGGGCTTAAGCCCCCCTTTAAGCCCCCCTTAAGCCCCCCTTCAAAGGGGTCCCTGCAAAGGGGGGGGGGGGGAAAGGGTCAAAGCCCTTAAGCCCCCCCTTAAGCCCCCCCTTTAAAGCCCCCTTAAAGCCCCCCTTTAAGGCCCACCCGTTTTAAGGGGCTTAAAGCCCCCCCTTTAAGCCCCTCTTTTTAAGCCCCCTTAAAGCCCCCCCTAAAGCTCCCCCCTAAAGCTCCCCCCTGAAGCCGCAACCAAGCCCCCCCCCCTCTGTGGAGGGTTTTGGCAGCAGTTTAAGAGGCCTAATACTTGCTGGGCCTTTGGGCAGCAATCTAAGAGGCGTAATACTTGCTGGGCTTCTGCGGAGGGTTTAGGCAGCAGTTTAAGAGGCCTAATACTTGCTGGGCCTTTTTTGGAGGGTTTGGGCAGCTGTTTAAAAGGCGTAATACTTGCTGGGCCTTCTGCGGAGGGTTTAGGCAGCAGTTTAAAAGGCCTGATACTTGCTGGGCCTTTTGTGGAGGGTTTGGGCAGCTGTTTAAAAGGCGTAATACTTGCTGGGCCTTCTGTGGGGGATTTAGGCAGCAGTTTAACAGGCCGAATACTCGCTGGGCCTTTTGTGGAGGGTTCGGGCAGCAGTTTAAGACGTCTAAAAGGCTTAATACCTGCTGGGCCTTCGGTGGAGGATTTAGGCAGCAGTTTAAGAGGCCTAATGCGAGCATCGTGTTTGCACTTGGGGGGGGGGGCTGCCCCCCCCCAACCCCCCCGCTTGTTTAAGCCGGGCAAACTCGCGTGGAAGCATATGAATCATGTCCAAAACAAAACAAAACATGGGGTTCTCGGCTTAGCCCCGCGCCACGTCACTGCTATGCAAATGGGGGGGGCTGCGCCCCCCCCAACCCCCCCGCTTTTTTCTGCCGGGCAAGCTCGCGTGGAAGCATATGAATCATCTCTGAAACAAGACATGGGGTTCTCGGCTTAGCCCCGCGCCACGTCACTGCTATGAACTCTCTGCTCCTTGAAACTCGAGTAATGAACACAAAAAACAAAAGAAGAAGCGAGCGGGGTGGAAATGCCCTTAAGCTCCCCTTTAAAAAGAGTCTCACTTCTCTGGTTTCGAAGAATGAAACCCAAAAAACAAA